GCTGAAGGCATATGGAAAAGAAAATCTCTTTATATGATAGATACATACTTAAGAGAAAAAAAACGTAAAACACTTAGCTGATTTACAACAGAATCTACAGTAATTTTACAAGACTGTGCTCAAGAAGAGGAAAGGCCCCAGTCAGGAATGGAAATTATTCTTGAAAAACCTACCAACAAGAGCTCATTTAAAACAAACAAACAAACGCAAAGGCCAAGGTCCTTGATATCTACATTATGTAGAAAAAACAGTCTGGCAAATATGAAACAGACAGATATCAGGCTCAAGCCACTTTCTCACTTTGGAAAAAGTAAAATAAATACACAAATTAGAGACTGAGCAAACACAATATATAAGATCTTTTGCACTTATATGTGAGTGTACATAAATATTAATTTAGAATATATGATTATTCTTTGCCTATAAATTAGATAATACAACAATCACAGAAAACACCACTAGTACTAAAATGTAATTTGTGATTAATTTTATAGCCCAGGACATTATATTTACAAAGTAAAGTGGGGACCAGTTCATTCATTCTTCATTTAAACAAAAACTACAAAAAAAAAAAAAAAAAGGAGGTTTTGCAGACAACCTGCTTAAGTTTCACAAAAATATCTAGCTATAGCCAAAAGAGATGCCATAGCCTTATTAGAATGCCTCCTTATCACTCTGCCAAAATGAATTAGAGCAGTTTGCAATTATAGTGTCAAACAGGCACATTCTGTAACATACAACATGATATATTCCATCTTTGAAGCGAGTGTATTTCACTATAAGCCAGCCATCCAAATAACCAGCCAGTAACTTGCAAATACTCTAATCAAGAAAAAAAGATGTGAATACTGTCACATTTTGAAACATTTTAAATTGACTAAGCATTTTGAAATATAAGGAAATAGGTAATAAAAGTGCAGCATTTAAGCAGCACAAAGTAATTTCTATCCTATGTGGTAACACAGTGAAAAATGAAATTGTTGGTGGGAATAACTGTTTCTGCATGGCAAACATTTGTACTGTCAACATCGTATTTGAGATAATGGAAAAATTACATTAGCATCTATTATAGTAGAAGCCATACTTGTTTTATACTATAAGAGTTTTAGTTTTTGTTTTAAATGCCTGGTTGCTTTGTTAAATACTTTGCTGAATTTAGAAAGATTCTGCTACTAAAACTTGGCTGTGTTGGGCAGTCTTGAAAACATGATTCCTTAAATCATGCTGCCTCAGCTAATTTAAAGACAAGATTTAAGGAAGTTGACTGACAAAAACTGAAATCCTGCATTCTTTAGCTAATAGCTCACTATTAATAGATGATCACATTACTAAGAATAGAGTATCTATCAGTTTCCACTGAGTTCAAAGTAAATTACTGTACATTTAGAACTTCTGAAATCAAGTCAGGTCCAACGACAAGCATTCAGATACATGTACAACAGCAGGCTATTCACAAAGTTTGTGCTGCAATTACAACAGGCAGACACTTGCTGATGTTCTGTCTACCTACACTCTGCCTTCACTACAGCTTTTGCTCAGATTTAACAAAATGCATTTACCAAGAKGGACTGTAATCCTAAAATCTAGCCACAAGAGGGCATAAGTGACACTGCGTTTTCATTTTAAATACAGATTATCTGTCTATAAATTTAAATCTGATTTAACCTAAAAAGTAAAAAATTTAAAATGCAGCTAATGCACAGCATGCCTGCTCCAGTGCAGAATATCTGATTTATTGCGGTCTTAATTTCCTTACTTTAGTATCATTCAAGCAAATTGCATCCCAACATGTTTTGGAGCATTGGAGCCTATCCATTCCTTGATACAATATAATTTTAAATATGAAGAATGACTGTGAAATCTACCAGTGAAAGATACATATGTACAATTGGTGATACAAGCCTGCGCCAGAATCTAGTAATTGCATACAGGTAGTTACTGCCTTAAAAGCAATAAAATGACATAGACTGATAAAATAAAAGAAGAGACAAGAAGGATTAGAGGAAAACAAGATAAAATATCTAAGTCGATGCACGGTTACTTGGCTATTTTTCTTTTTAGAGGTCACCCAATAAGGTAGCGAGCTTGAAATGCATACTTACATATACAACTTAAAAATAGCAAATTCCTAAACCTTATGTGATTAATAACAAGAATAATAATTTAAATAGTCCCATTTATCATAATTTAGTTTCAGAAGTCAGCAAACTTTTGTCTGTGTTGCTCCAAACTGCACAAGACCAGCAGTGATAGAATATACTCATTCAGGTTCTTCAGTTATTAACAGTGGGCGAGGAAAACCTGATTCAGGAGCTATGAAAAAAACCACCAACAACACATAAAACCAACGGACTACAACTCCATAGCCCTGTGCATCCCTCCCCACTTCCAATACATTTGTCCAAGCAGTAGCGTTAACCCAGAACTTGGCAAACATTGGTTGCCTTTGGTCTAAATCAGCTAGAGTTTGCCTTCATATCATACAGATAAGACAGCAATTTGGATAATGCTGAAGTTTACAGAATAGAATTTTAGGATATTGAGATGTGAGTCAAGACAAGAACATCATTTTAAAACTTGTTATTCCATGGACCAGTGTCCTGATTAGGATCACAGTTACTGGAGCTTTATTCAGGAAAGCAATAGAGGATCTCCAAGTTCCACCGCAGGTAATGCCAGCAGCTGATCATCGACCCACACCACCCTATGTTGTGATTGTTGATCCACACTAACAGAATAGTTTGCAAGTATCAAAACCAAGGAAGTCTTACCTGTTCCAACTTTTTTTTATGAAACACTTTTTCACAAACCTAATAAATGTAATCAATACAGTACAGGATCAAATGAGCACTGGAGCCAATGTAATGCAACATGATGAGGAGGAGCTTGTGACTGAGCAAAGTCACCCAACAGCTGAAGTTAGATTATGAACCAAGACTTGGGGGGATTTTGTTTTGAAATCACAATTCCGTATAATAGCAGATAAGCAGAAACACTGCAAGACTAAGTATATAAAACTGGAATGGGACTAAACTTCGGTGTATGTGGTGGCTTCCTCTGAGACAATCTCACTCATTAATGCTACATTAATGCTGTTCAGGCTGCCTGTGCCTAAGCAGAGAACATAGCTTTTTAAATATATTACCAAGCTAGTCAAGGTGGCTGTGTATCAGGAACAACAAGAGAAAAGTAAAACCACCATTTAGATCCATCCTGGTCAAAGAAAATACAAATCTGATGTTAGAGCTTCTCCTTTTCTGTTAACAAATCACTCTTACCTTTAGATGGGGAAGAACAAACTACGTCAAGATAGAGCAAATACCGCAATTTTGTTGTTATACTTTTTGTCCTGCAGCACTATGCGCAACACCCCTGGTACCTTATACATGAATCATCCTTCCAGTAATATTTGCTAATTGGGAGCTGGATATCAGGCCTCATACCATTATTAGTCTGCTATTATTCTAGTCCTTCTCTTAAATTGCTTTGTCAGACTTCCGTCACTTGAGACAAGTTCCATTATGAGAGACATTAGGTGCATTTAGGTATTTGCTAGATAATAGAGAAGGTTCTTAGGCAACAATCTGGACAGATTAGACTAATCTGTTGCTGTTGGAAACTTTGTTTCCAGCAGCAGAGTAGACAATAGTTTCAAATTACCTGCACTAAGATTAAGCCACAGGCAATATATGTTTTGAGGTGAAAAGAAAAACAAAATGGAACTACCATTCCCAACACTTTTTACCTCAGATGAGGCAAATGTCTGAATTCAGCTTCTCATTTCTCCAGAATTTATGGATTTAGCTGCATGTAAGGCTTTTTTTTTTTTTTTTGTGAATGGTTTTGTAAGTATTTTTGAATGCAGAGATACAACAGAAATGTAGTCAGCAGTATGTAATGTTATTTCTGAAATCCAGCACCTAAATATGAATGATATTTCAATATTGGTTAAAAGTTGGATATTTTCACAATAAAATATATTTTGTTAGAAGCAAGGTTAAATAACATTTTATGGTTACTGTAACAATAAAGACAGCAAACCCATGAAATTACTGACACCAAAAGGCAAATAGTATTAACAAAGCTTCAGAAACTAACACATTTATTGAATAGTATCCTGCAGAGAGAAGAACAAAACACATTATTTATTGATTTTTCTTTATATTCTTATATCTCAACACTTTTTCCCTAATATCAACTGTGGACTGAAGTATCACAATCTCTCCCACTAATTTTTTGCTAATATCACCTGGGACCATTCAGCACACATCTCAAGTAAGTAGCATGGGCTAAGTTCTCACTGCACGAGATGAGCACTTCAAGCAAGGAACAAGGTGCAGTGTAAAGCCATACTTGCATATATACTTGTTTTACTAGGTCAGAGTCACGGAAGATTGTCACTTTGTATAAGGCATGTTGGTTTCAGGTTGACTATTGAATACTTTGATAAAAACATTCAAACATCATAAAACTAATGGAAGTGATGTGAATATCTGGTCTCATCCCAACTGATTTGATCCTATCTCTTGTTATAAGATAGTTCTCATTTTCTCTCCCTAAAAGGCAGAGAGGACAAGTTCTATAATAGAAATATTAACAAGAGATACCTAATTGCAGTATTAAATAGACAAATATTGTCCTAAGTATAAATAACTTAAAATGTAAGAAAAGATTACTTTTAATGCTAACTAAGCAATTGCTGAAACTGAAAATAATTGCTTAAATATCAGTCCTTCCCTTTGAGATTGGACAGTTTACACAATGAAAAAATTTAAGGAAATGACAGTACACACTTTATAAATTATTTATCTTCCAATGTAATGCACAATCTCTTGCATATCATGTATTATAGACTTTAATCTGTTTTTTCAAACTATGAAGTTATGTTGTTTCAAATTAAGCTGTGGTAATACATAGTAGCTGAAAATATTGTACATTGACTAGATTTTCTTCTTTAACTGCAAAAATATCTTTTCTGAAAATATTTATTAAAATATATGGGAAAAGTTTACTTTTCCCATATCAACAGTTTATCCGAAATAAAATCATGATATTCTTTCCACTGTAGGAATAAAATCATAAAATTAATATCATTAATACAAATTATGAAAAACTCATGTTCTTCATGTTCTGTTGTGATAGCTTAATAGCAAGTCATTCTTCTTAGTCTAGCAGGTTAGAGGTGAAAGTGTTTTTCACCATTAGAAATTGAGATTCTCGGTGTGATCTTTTCAGTTTTGCACGACGGTTCTGGAACCAGATCTGAAATTGAAATTAAAAAAAGCATCCTTTTCAGAAAGGATTTCTGCATTTCACACAGGACAAAATGACATACTTCTATAGTATTCTGTTAAATGTCAATAGTTTGGAAGTTCAATACAAATTTTAATTCTGCAAATGATAGCACATAACTGCTTTTGATAATTTTCTTCACACCACAGACTAGAGAACAATACGGCTCTTCCCAGCTTTCCTGAAAAATGAGGACTAGCCTCACTAATTAAACACAAAAAGCAGTACCAGTTTTTTCAGCGACACTAAATCAGGCACCGGAAGATCCTGAGTATTTGGAATTCAAAACCAAGTCAGCGTGGTTAAGGTGTTACTTCCTGAGTTGTTGAATTAGCTGTGGCATAAAGCTTAACATCAACCCCAATCAGACTAGCATCAAAAGCTACATATTTATCAAGGCCTGGCTCAAAATCTGACGAAATATGTGGTATACTTACCATATTTCATTAGTTGGAAATCAGAAACTGAAAATCCGGAGTAGATAGTGCTTTCCATCAAAGACATGGGCTCAAACATTGTTTTCAAAAAGCGTAATGGTCTGTTTAATGCTAAATTGTTTAATGCTCTATTGACCATCCTACCAAATACTTATACATTCAGACAACTTATTTCAATATTGATTTCAACTTCCATTTTCAGCCATAGTGAAAAGCAAGATATAAACATGATTTTAAAACTTGGAAGCAAATGAACAAGTTCTACATGTGATAATTGGATGTGGAAAAACAAACAATCAAAAAAAAATGAAGAAATCATCACTGATGACAGTGATGAATATCAGATCAACACATGGAAGAAGGTTTATGACTTGGGAAGGAATTTAGTGGCTTCCATATCACTGAAGGAATATTATAGGAATAAATGTTTATTATGTTAAATTGTGATTATGGACTACTGTCCATCTATTTGTATAATCAAAGCGTACATATAAAAGGAATTAGAAAAGCACTTAAACTTCATTACCTGAATCCTGTCTTCATCTAAATCTAATTTGCGAGCTAGTTCTTCTCTAATATCAATGCCAGGGTAGGAGTTCATTTTAAAAACATTTTCCAAAACGTCAATCTGAGGAGATCGAAACACACTTGTTGAATTGTTATTTCTATCTTTGCATGAGGAAAGAAAAATAAACAAAAACACACTTTAGTTATTTCCGAGATCTCCATCTACTTGGACAAGTCTAATTGTGCATTTCTGCAAGTGCCTACCTACTTTTCTTTATGCAGATTCAAATAGCACTGAATTAGCTAAGCTCTTTCAAGCTTCAGCCATCGTTTTAGTAAATTATACGGTTTTATTTAAAAAGCAATCAAAACCCTACCTGGTTTCTAGTGAAAGCAGTTCTTGGTCTTCTACCCCTGTACCAGCTCAATTCTCGTTTGAAAGATAGCCTTTCAGTCACTGAAAAATATTTTTCACACTTCAAAACTTTTTCCTCTTGCATTGCAGTACTGTTAGCACGAAATAATGAATTCTCATAGGAAATAACAGGGATTTGTGTATGAGGATTGCTGTCTTCACATAAAACTAGGAAAACAACAAAAACAATTACTGGTTTTCATTGGAAACATGACTATATATACGCATTTTTAAACGAGTAAAAGCTTAAGATGTTAGGAAACTGACTGCTTACTTACCCAGGTTAGTGCATGTATCCGTCCACGGTCTGTGAGGTTTCACAGCTGAAGTGATATCTTTTTTCTGTTCCAATCCCAAAATACTTTCAATGGAAAATGAACACTGTGCAGTTTTATTTTCCACAAAACCAGACGTCTTCTGACAGTTCTGAGATACTGACGTATTAGCAGGACACAAGGACGTACTTGCCATGCTTTCACCTTCAGTCAGCATACCACCTATACTGTACTGGCATTTCTCTTCAAGTCCTCCTCCTTATAGCTATGTTGACAACGGGGGCTGGATTTGCAACGTCATTAATTAAAATCTTTTATTAGAAAGTTTTAGCATGTCAATGAAAACTCTCCCACCAAGAGGCATGAGGAGTTAATTGTTTATTTGTTTGCAAGTAATTAGCAACTAATGGTGACACTAGGGGGGCCACCAAGAGGGACAAATAGTGTTATCTCTCCTAACCAGAGCATCGACTTAACTTTCTCAACAGAAGCTATGCACAAATATAGTACTTCTCTTTTATTTGAAATCATTAATGTATAAAATCATTTTTTTAAAAAACTTTATACTCTAATGGATTCCACTTACCTAAACATAGCAGCATGATAGGAAACCAGTCAAGTAATAAGTAATCTCATTTAAGTGAATTTCCTTGCAAGGAAATTTAAAAAATAATCTCTTAATGCTATTAGGGTAATCCCAAGGAAAATGCCTCTGTTTTTTCATATGCATATGTAATGGTGAACGTGGTCAATAAAACAACAATAGCTTTTGGCATAAGGCACAGTGCAGTAGGTTGGCAGTGTTGTCAAAGCTCAATGTAATTGCCTTCCAAGTGCATGGATTAGTTAACAGGAACAGTTGCACCAACTATTTTCAATTCATGCATTCATTTTTCGTATTAAAATACCTTTGTTGCAGCTCTTTGAAAGAAATATGTGAAGTTCCCTTTTTTTAAAATATACATGCAAAAATTGAAGTAAAACACCACACTGCAATTGACTGATTTCAAAAAAGTGAACCTGTGTGGATCACAGGTTTCAGAGGGTAGTGCTGCATCTGAGGAAATGCATACCTTAACAAAATCTGTCAGATTTTCCTCAACATGTGAGCCTTCTCTTCCTCAGGAAACCCTGCGTCCAGAAATCTGCAGAGTAGCTGACATACTTTTCCTAGCTGGAAAACCCAGAAACGCTCAGATCAAAATTTTAACGGAAATTCCACTATTCACAGGAGCCTTTAGTACATATTTCAGGAGCCTCCGAAAAGCCTCTTCTGTCCAGGAAGTTCCATCAGCTTCGTGACAGAATACATGGTGAATTAAATGTCAGCAGAGTCCTATCGATGGCTTCCTGTAAAGAGTAGTGCTAGACAAGAGCCTTACATGTTCCTTTATGTTTCACAGCAGCTGTTTGCAACAAGGCTACCTACATCCTTCGTTAGCCAACAAAACTCCTACTCTTGGCTGCAGTTATTTTGCAAATGCAGACTGCACAGCAGGCATTATGGCTACTGGAGAGATAATGCAAGGACTTCTGTATACATGCAACAGTATAATAGCAATCATTCTAAACAAAACCTTCAGCAGGTCATAGATCAATTTTCTGCCCGTCCTCTATGCAGGGCATAGAAGAAGAGATTAAGGAAGAAAGCCTTATCAAGAAAGCAATGCGTCATCTATTCTCAGCTTGAGCTGCTACAAATTTCTGTCTTGAAAAGGTTTCATATGAGCATGATCATTGAGGAAAAGGCAGTCTCTTGAGTACAGAAACTAACATGCATTTTAAAAAAACAAAACTGTTGGTAATTGTAATACAAACAAATCGTTCCCAAATATAGGTAGCTTCTTGAAGAAGATCAACCAAACAAGTGCTAAAAAAAAACGAAAAATAAAAGCACACAAGCACTAATACAAAGGCTTTCAGAAAATATTTTATCATTTGAATAAATAAGAATGAAATTAGTCACAGCTACATGGCTGAGACCAAGAGATAATTACATGGACCAAGAGAGGTACCTACTTTTATAAATGATCTCAACATGCTAACAGGAACTACCAGGAGAGGCATATGCAGTGCTAGGAGAAACATTTATTTACATTTAACCAAAGCTAACCAGTTGAGGAAATATTTGCAATTTATTTTTCAACTTCCTGAAATTGCAGAGGATGAAGAAAACCTTCAGTAGGGTGTCCTGATTCCAGCTGCCACATGGAGACGATCATAATCTTTCAGTGTTTTTTTTTGTTTGTTTGTTTTTCCCTCTCCTTCTCCTCTCTTCCCCATGTCTTTTCAGGGAAACACAGATATCTAAATTTGTCCAACGCAGGTTGGAAAATAATCAGATAGTGCCATCTGGTGTTTATATTTGAATTTGTTCAACAATGAAGATTCAGATAACTGAATAGGAAACCATGCTACTATTAAAATATTAATTTGCTTCATGCTGAATTGATTCACACCCAGAGATTACCATGCAGCAACTGAAATGCATCATCATTCTGGTTTTAAAACGAGTTCATGGCAGCATCTTTTCAGAGGAACTGGAAGTACCAACTTCACAAAGTAGATGAATAGGCACACCATGCTTTTTTATTTCCAAGGAATTCAGTGAAATTGAAACACCGTATTTCTAAGAGATCACGTTAACGCAGCTCTACATAACTATAAAATTTGCACATGAGAAATTATTCTAAAGATAACAAGTCTATTTATACCAAAGCCGTACACTACATATGTAGAGAGATATCTACCAGGAAATCTGTCTTAAGGCCTAATATTCAAAGTTTGCAATATTTCTTTGAAGAGAAGTAACCAAGATGTACTTAGTCATATAAGTTAAAAAAATATAGACCTGTCATTATCACAAAAATAAACAGTCATACCCTGTTGTTAAAAAAAAAAAAAAAAGAAAATGCAATGTTTTAGATGCAAAAATACCTGGAAATAAGCAATCAGACTTATTTCTGAGATTTTCTACTAGAATTGAAAGATCAAGCTGTATATACACTCAAAAATGACACTCCCTTTTATTGCTCATTTCTAATGTGTCAACATCTCATGCAAGCCATATGAATTTGTTTGAAAAGTTTTAAATAAATACCTTTGAGCAAATAAATACTAGAGCAACGCAAAAAAAACATTAGGATGAAAGTCTTGAATAATCAGCAGTAGAAAAAAATAACAATCCTTTTACAAAATGCCATGGTTGATTAGGCAGTTAACTTTAACCTCCCTTTTTGACAAGGGAGTCCATTTATTCAGCAGCGGATGGAACTCTTGCCTTCAGAGAGGTGAAGCCTCTAAGAACTTCAATTATTCCAGCTGAAATGACCACATGTAGACTTCTTGGTGGCTTCTAAAACCCCACTGCTTACTGTTGCTTTCTATCACCAGTATATTGCTTCTGCCAAGTCACCTTTTGCAAAAGTATGCAGTATCTTTGGTTTTTTAGAAAAGGGATTACTGGTATATGCAATGTTTCTTGATTACAGATCACACAGAGGAAATACCTTTCATCTCACCTTTCCCTCAGGTCCTTTATCCAAGTGCAGCAATATTTCACTACCACAGACATTCAATACACAATACCTTTCCTAACAGATTATAAATATGGATACATAAGTTATAACCAAATCCAACTCCACAACAAAGTGATTCTAAGGTAAAAATGTCTCAAAACCGTTAACCATGATTTTTCTCATTAAAATAAGCAAATAAAAGCAGTCTGTTAATTCTTGGCTGAGGTAAAAGCTTTTTTTAATCCAAGACTAAATGGACATTGAGAAATTTGAAGTCAGTCTAGGGCTGGCACTAGCAAAAGTCTGAGAACATGTGTGTAAATGCCAATAAGGCTTACCTTAGCCAGACAGCTGCTTTCACCCTCCAGCAGAGCCAAAATGTGCACTCCTTAGGGGAGCCATCTGCAAACCTCTGAAGGGCTGTTGGCTGCTCTTCTCCCTGTTTGCACAGTGTCAAGTGTCAGTTCACCACATTCTTAACATTTCCTAGCAATCATTTATACAAAGAAGATTAAAAAAAAAAGCCACACAGTTTAACAAATACATTGACATTGACAAAATATAATATATTGACATTGACAAAAACACCAAGTAGTGGTCTCAGAAGCATTCTTTAACTCATTATCATCCAAACTCATCTACGTCCATCAAAGTTGAACTCCAAATAAAACTTTTTGATGCTTTTCAATATTTTTAAAAATGTAAATAAAAATAAAAGCAAAAGTAGTAAGATACTACATAGCATATTTATGCAAAGGTTTTACCTAAAAATTCTGAGTACTAAATGAAAGAAAGTTGCATTCTATTACAGAATTAAGAAAGTCACCTCCACTTGCTAAATCATTAACTCCAACAGAAACTCCAATTTTTATGCTACATGCCAGTGGAGGCACAAGAACACATTTCTAGATTTTACAAGTATGTTGTTAGTGGTTCTTTTTAATGAAATATTGAATTATTTAAGAGTTATTCTTTCCAATTTACAGCAGCAAAACAATTGCATTTTTCTTCTGTCACTTTAAGATATAAAAACACAAAGGGAGCAAGAACAACTGCATTTAAAGTTACTTGCTACCATGGTTACTTTTCCTCGACAGAATTATTGTACACATACCATACATATAAAATATATTTTAAATCAAAGACAGCTATAAAAATTGATCACAACTTAGCTGATCTCAAAAGTAGAAAATTTGCCATATCTATCAGTAATGAGACAATGCTAGCATTGCATTGCCTCATGTAATTATGGCAGCTCACCAATATTTTAATATAAAGACCAAACAAGAAGATGCAACTTCTTTAAAGAAGACAAACAAGAAGATGCAACTTTAACTTTAAAATAGCTTGCAAGATAATTCTATTATTACCCTCATGTGACAGCAAAAGAGCAGTGACAGTCAAGCACTGTGACTTAACTCAGGCGACATGAGTCACCAGACGAGCTGGTAAAGGAACAGACTGACCCCAGCTGTAACTTTGAGAACTTCTCACCATTCCCTTAAAAAAAAACAAATCACAAAAAGCTTTACTTCCAATCTAATGCCAGCTTTTTCTTTCATCTCTTTTTAAAAGCAAAATGTAATCTTATACAAACAAAGTCTTTAAAAAAAGACTGTCCAACAGTTAATCATTTACTCTGGCTAATTTAGCATGCTCTCTAATCAGGTTTTATAATAAGTTGACCCAGCCACAAGGTGTAAAAACAAGAAGAAAACAGAGGGAACAGCCCATTCTTTTGATCCCTAATAATGTATGCATCTAAAACGTTACTGATTTCCAATCAAAATGTAAAACATCACCTTGTAACTTCATAGGGTTGAAATAGTTCCTAAACTCAAATATACTACATGATGTGGTTTTTCTCCTGGTGCATATTTTATAAAGCTTCTGGCATAACACATCATATTTTCATGTTTTGAAACAAGTGAAACTTTAGAGACTTTTTATTAACTATTTATACATACTGTATGCTCTCTCCTTAAAATATCGGCTGCTTAACATACAAAAATAAATTAAAATATAATCACTTGGATTAAAATATCCTAGTCGCAGAGTTGTAGAAAGGGCAAATTACCAATATGCTATTTTTTAAACAGAGGAGAATGATCTGGTTGAGTTTAAATATACCCTTACAGTAGCCCTAGTTCTTTACAACTGGTTGCCATCTGCAGCAGCAAGTCCATTCAAGGCAAGAAAACAAAGCCCATGAGGGCTGATTACACTTTCCTTTCAGCCTAGGTGTACTTTCTTTTCCTGTTCAAGACTCATTGAAGCAACAGCGAGCCCACAGCTGCAACTGTGGCTTCAAAACAAAACAACAACAAACAAAATAAACAAACAAATAAAAAAAGTGGTGGAAAATGATGGGACAGCAATAAAGTGGCACATCTCAAAAAAGAGGTGATCACAGTGCTCAGAAAAGCACAGAAGATGCTCTCACACTTGACATGCTGCAATAGCATTATTCTGCCTACAGTACATACATGCACAGACACTTCTTTTTGGGGGGGGTGGGGAGGGAGTGTAAAACAGTAGCAAAGGCAGGACTACAGGAACATACTGACTTTGCATCTTAACACACAATGTCTGTAATTACCAACTAAACTAAATTAGGGAAAGGAGCATTTTCCCAGAGTCTTTGCCTGACAGCCACCTCCACCGGTGGCCCCAGGCCTGAACATCTCTTCATCCCAGCTCAGAAAGGGCCCTGTGCTCCTGACTCACCTCCCCAAGCCAGGCCAGGCACCCCAGGGGCGCCGAATGCTCTCCTGAGGTACGAGGGAGACCCAAACCCCTCTCCTTCGCACCCCACTTTACTGAGGAGGGAAGACAGTGAGGTGGTGTTGCCTCTTCCCATCAGCTGATAGGGCCCAGCTCCCGGTGATCCACGATCGTTAACGGCGACCGTTAACGGCTGCTGCGGACCTTCCCCACAACAGGAGGAAGGTGGAAGCGCTCGCGTGCCCACGCGCGACGTACCCCCACAGAACCCAACGCACACGAGCAAACGGACAGCCAAGCCAACCAATAAGAAGCCCAGGCTCCTAAGGGAGGCACCAATGGAAAGGGCGCATGGGGTAGGGGGCTGTACCTCCGGCGCCAGGCGGGGCGGCCGTGCTGTGAGCGCCCGAGCGGCGGGCGGGGAGGTGCGCGCTGCGCGAGCCGGGGCCGTGCCTGAGCCGCCCGGCCGCCGCCGCCATGCCCGGCATCGACAAGCTGCCCATCGAGGAGACGCTCGAGGACAGTCCTCAGGTGAGGGGCGCGCGCAGCCCGCAGGGGCCGGTCCGCGCGGGGGCGCCGGGCCCTGCGCGCTCCCGCGCCCCCGAGCGCTTCCTCGGGGAGACGTTGGCGGCCGTTGGGAGAGGCCTGGCCCGGCGCCGGTCGCGCTGTCTCTCTCCCCGCTGTCACGGGCCGCCGAGCCGCGAGTCCAGCGGCGCCTTCCCGGGGATGCTTCTGCCTCGGGCCTCGGCGCAGCTGCCGCTGCAGGCGGCCCTCCCTGCCTGCCGTGCGAGCTTTATTTGGGGGTCCTCGCCTCGAGAACCCCCTCTTCTCAATCCTCGATTCCTCAAGGAGAGGTGCAGTATCTGTGTACTTTGCTACAAGAGCAAAAGGTTTAATAAATAAATGTGAAATGCAGTTACTGGGTGATGTTATTGTGGAGCTTGTCAATGCAGTGAGAAAATGGGAAATGCGTCGTGCTGAGAGGCCTCTAATTGCTCTTTACTTCCAGTTCTACTGCTTGACCTTTGTCAGTGATGCTGTATATTACATTTCCTTTTCAAATTATTGTTAGGCAGGAAATGCTTATTTAGTTGTGCTGGTTTCTCTGCCTGGCAGCAACAACAAGGACTTTGTACACACTCTTCCGAGGCATGCAAAAAGTTTACAATATAGTTTTCCATATGCTGGTAGTTAGAACTAGTAATGTTCTTGTTTTGCTGCATTTCACTTGTTTAGGGCCTGCTTAGAAAAGACGACAGAGGAAGATCATGTCAAAAGATGATGCTTTCCAAGTGTGCTCTGCATAACTCTAATGCAAGATGTCACACTGAGCTTCAGATGAGATCTATCCTATAGTGCAGTCTCTTGTCCAGAGACTAGAACTGAGGAAAGCTCAAAGAGAAAAAAATGCCAAATGCACCATAATAATATTAATTGAACAGAATTGCCTGGCGAAGATCTGTTTTTAGTGTATAATAAACACAACAATGTCCTTAGGGAAGCACGTAAGAGAAGGTTACGTATTGGAACAGGATTGTAAATTCTTTTATTGCCACTCCCTTTCATTTAAGGTTAACTTTGATAAATACTGATTAGTTGTGTCTAACCTGGCTCAACGTTTACTTGCTAATATGCAAGATCATGAGATTAGTCTATATTTTAAGTACAACATTTTACATCTTTCAGCCAACCCAGTATTTCTGACTGGAAAACTGGAAGATTAGTTTCTCTTATTTTCAAATTAGTTAAATTCAAATGAGCATTTAGGACATTTTAGTTTTATGTTAGTCACTGTCAAATCTTAGTCTTCTGATTCTGATTTGATGCCACAAATGGCAACAAATGTTGCTTGAGGAAAGGAAAAAGTGCTCCATTCAGGAGCTGCCAGGGCTTTCTGATGATGATGAAGAAGTGTTTGCAAGGCTTTGCTGCAATATGAGAAGAGAATATCAATCTAGATATTTATTTAGTGGTGAATTGTGGGCTGAAACTGTGCTCTTTTAGATGTGTTTAAGAGATTTACTTTAAATAAATATCACATCAAACTTGTTCTGCATCTGAAGGAAAGAGAAGTTCTCTACCATGATAAAACCATGAACTTCCTCTTGATGCAAGATAAAAATCGAATCTCTCTGTCTTTAAACATAAACCAAATACCAACTTTACATTGTTTTTGCTAAGCAAAATAGCTTAATTCAAATATCAGTTAACATGGTACATATATTGCACATATACTCTGTGTGTGTATGTACACATATATGTATTTAGAGAGAGTTTCTGCTCAGACTTGATCCATTTGCAAACCAGTACACAACAAAAGAGCCAAGACGAGACAATACTGGGTCTGCCTCATGTCACTTGCAGTGTAATCTCTATGATGGTGTGGAAAGCTTAACAATTCACTGGTTTCTCTCCAGGTAACTGCCTGTGTACCTTATCTCTGGTAGCTTCCAGTGTATTTGCTCATATGAGATGAAAGCATCTCAGAACATTCAAGAATTCTCAAAATTGGCTAAAAAAAAAAAAAGGATAAACAATTCCTCTAACTTCTAAGCTATTCAATGGTGTGTTAGAACTTGTTTCACAATTTCAGATTATTTTATTTCCATCAGCATGATATAGGGTCAATTTGAAGTTTGAGGATAAATAGTATTTTGTCCTCAAAATAATATTTTACAATAAAACACAAAGTTCTTTCTGCTGCAGTTTTCTATTTTAAAAAGTGAAGATCATCTGAAAACTCTGCATGATGTTCCTTTCCAACTGCAAGTTGCTGGTATTGCTGTTGAGGTTTAAAGGTCGTAAGTATACCTTTCAGAGGTTGCGGTGCTATAGAATTTTTTGCTTTTGTGTTCTTTCCTGTCTGTCTGCTGCTTTGTGAGAGTCACAGCTATTAGGGTGATGCAACATATTGACACACCTGGCAAACATATGAGTTCATCTCCATCTCTTTTCTCCTCCCTGTATCCTCCACACTTTTCTTCTACCTCTTTTATAAACTTTTTTTCTACCTTTTTAAAAACCTTTCTACCTCTTTTATAAACTTTTATAAACCATCATTAAAGTAATTTGTTTTGTTCATGATATGTTTGTTTTGTTTTGGGGTGGGGAGGGAAGGTAGAGGGGGTTATTTTGTAAGCATTATGTTATACCATATTTGTGGGACAACCAGTCATCCAATCCAAGATAAATGAAAGGTTTTCATGTCAAATGAATGGTAAATAACATACTCTTTAGTCACTGGTAACTAGTCACTAGTCATTTGTACTTGCTGAACATCTTTAAAAGCAGAAGGTCAGAAAAAGAGATATGAAAGACCTCCACACTTTAAGAGGAGATGGACTGCGTTGCAAGTCACTTCAAGACAAATGTTTAACATAACAAGAACTTCTAATAATAAGAATTCCACATATTTCCTAAATAGTGTGATCCAAGGCTCTGATCACTAACATGATCAGAAGCTTTCCTCTTGTCCAGAGCTGCTACATCAAAGTCTCACTTTTTTTTTGTCCAAGGTTCTGTAGTTCTGTGCCTTCCTCATTGAGAAAAAAACTGATGGTATTTAACATAAGGAAGACAAAGAAAAGAGATCTTAAAATTTCCATCTTTACATATGATAAAATGTGAGGAAAAGTGTAATTACTTGATTTTTTTTTCCTGGACTTTAGTTTTAGTCTGAACCTAAAAATGATCCACAAAATACTCTTTCCAAAACATCACTAAAGGACTTATTGGATCTTGCAAGTGACAGTACTGTTTCTAACTCCACACATTCCAACTAATACTTTAGTGTAAAATTATGTAGCTTTTATTAGGAAAGGAAAAAGCAGCCAGTGCAATGTTACATGTACACTCTTTGCTCATTTCATTCATGATTTTCTCCTGATGGAAATAAACTATTGGAAACCCTACTGGTGAAGAGAAGACTGCCTGCCCCTGCAAAAACAATGCAAGAGAGGACGGAGTAAGCACCTCATTTGAGCTCAAGGGCAAATTTTACTGGAACAACCTGATTGTCTCCTCCTCCAAAGTCAGTCATTTCATTACAGGGCAGAGCACTGAATGTCATTTACATTGAATTAAACAAGGATTCAGACCTGGTCTCTAATAGCATCCTTCTGGCCAAAAGGAGAGATAGGGACCCAGGATTGGATATGTGGACTAGAAAGTAGGTAAAGCAACAGGATATATGGTGACAGTCACAAGTTGTAGCATGAGAAATTATGACTATATAAGAAAAGAAATTCTTTGTAAGTGTGGTAAAACATTGGATCTTCTTGCCTGGAGAGGGGTGGATTCTCCATCCTTGGACGTTTTTAAGAGCTAACAGGATAAACCCCTAAGCAGCTTAATCAACTTTGAAGTTAGCCCTGCTTTCACCAGGGGCTTGAACTAAATGACCTTTAGTGGCCATTTCCAGTCTACGTTATTATGTGGTTCTGTTTAACCAGTTCTGATGATCTCAGGATTAAGTTCTGTTGCAATATGCTAGTTCGTGCATGCCACTGCATTATCTATTCCTTTGAGCACAAGTCCCACATGACCTGGAAATCTTGGAGCAGTAAATTTTATTTCTGCTTTTTCCTAGTTCAGTAAGGTCTGCTTTCATATCTCTGGAAATTGAGAAAGGCCTTTTAAAGTTATTTGATTCCTCTTCCAGTTATTTTAGTTCAAAATCATATATTTTACACCATACATTTACCCATTTTCCTTGGTCCTTACTGCAAACATATCTGAAGAGATATGCTAAGCCAGCATATCCTTAATATATATTTTTTTTTATCTGAAACTTGTATTAATTCCTTTAAACCATCTTTTAACTTTTCAGTAATGAAATCTGAAACAAATGCTACTAAATCTTGAAATTTTCTTAAAGTACTTCTTTGGTAACTTGACATTAAAGCTTTGCCTGTTTCATTTTTACAGACTCGATCTTTGCTGGGTGTGTTTGAAGAAGATGCTGCTGCAATTTCTAATTATGTCAATCAGCTATTTCAAGCAATGCACAGAATATATGATGCACAGGTAATGTTACTGATGTTTCTGAATGAGCCAGACATTTCATGTCTTTTTTATCTCATCTCTGAAATGCTCTGAGCTCACCATCATGATTTTAGTGTGCACTTCAGTGAGAGATTATCACTTAAGTGAGAGATTATCATGAATATATTGTAGGGAACACTTCTCATGTGTAAATAACCGTACTTTTAAGTCAAAGGCAAAAGGGTGTTTTTGTTTTTTGTTTTGCTTTTCTTTTGTTTCTGTGCAATTTGTATATACTTGGATTGCTTGACTTTTACTGTCATGTTTACTTTCAAGGCTGGTGTAAACATTATGTGTGTTTGCTGCTATGCAATTTTATTTTATTGTCTTGCTATTTTGCTTTTTATTTCTGTGCTTTCTCCTTTTCAAATGCATCCTGAAAGGTGAGGTTTTTCTTTATCATGAATCTGTTAATTGCATCATGTTGTGTACAAGCACAGTTAATTTGTAAATAGGTAGTGCTGATGTTCACTCTAAAGCTGTCTTTCCTTCACGTGTAATAAATATCTAACACAATTAAATGCAAATCTGTGCAGTGTAACATTAAAAATATAGAATCATTTTTTATAATTCAAGCTGTTGACCTGATATTTGTAAATGGTGAATACATATCCATGATCTTAAATAGTAGTAGAGAAGTAGAAGGGCAAGTGGTTAGATTTTCTGAAATCTATTTTTTTGTAATCAATATTTCTGCTTTAAGTTCCCTATCTGTAGCAGTTTTCTCTTCAGATACGTAGGCATCTTTTTCTTGATTTAAATCGGAAAGTAACAAGCTTCCTTTTGCTTTTTAATCAGAATGAATTAAGTGCAGCAACTCATCTGACTTCAAAGCTCCTGAAAGAGTATGAGAAGCAGGTATGGTGGAAATGATTGTTTCTGTTTAACTTGTAACTGTTTCTGTTCTTTCCTAACAAAAGATAGTGTTTCAAGAGGAGACTTTTTAAAAGGAGAAATATTTATTTTCTAAAATAATTTTCCTACCTAATTAATACAACTTTGTGGATGGCAGAAAGCACTGCACCCAACATGCCTCCTTTTTTTTTATTATTTGTTTTTGTAGCGTTTTCCACTAGGAGGAGATGATGAAGTTATGAGTTCTACATTACAGCAATTTGCAAAAGTGATAGATGAGGCAAGTACTTGTATTTATTTGACTTACCTTTCCAACTTTCGTTTGTTATGTGTAGACTTTGACTGACTTAATCATTCTGGTTTGTGATAAGACAGGACATATGTGAAGGGCCTTTTTAATCAGTTTTCCACACATATTTGAAGTTCTATAATCTGAAGACAAAGAAATCAGCAAAACTAAGATACATTGTTAAGAAAGGATGCATTTTAACTTTTTGCAGATACTGCCAAGAAACATTACAGAATTGTAAACAGTGACCGTATTTTATGGCAGTATTTGTAATGCCTGAATTCTGATACGTATTTCAGGTAGGAGCCTCTTACTGTCTTTCTTAGAGACAGCAAGTGACTCTGAGTGACTGACTCCTTTGTAAAACAACAGAGCATCCCTCTCTCCAGTTCAAACACTACTTTTACACAGTTTTAGGAGGATGAACATACTCGTTCTCCTTCTGTAATTTGAGAAAGATAGGCTGTGATGTGGCCATAGGGAAACAAGGAGGAATTGACTACTCATCAGAAGGTGTAAGGACATCTTCTAGTATGATCCAGTAACTCAGAACAAAATTAGTAGTAACAACACTTTAGAAGAGCTCTGAAGGTCTTCTGAAAAAAACTAGTGAAGGCATCAGGAAAGTATGAAAGAGTATGGGGAGAACAGACTACTGAGTTGTGAGAATATGATCCTGAAAATCAAAGATAAGTTTTTAAGAAGATGAAGTGACAGTTGGTCACTAAATTGATTTTTTCCCCCAATCTAAATTTTAAGTAGGTTTAATAATTATGTTAATACGCTTCTATGTAGATACAAGAAAATAAGAAAGGTAATTTATATCCATATATATAACTTAATTTTTTTAAGTAAAATAAGCTTTTTAAATAACTACATCTTTGGTGCAAAGAAGTAGTGCTGAATGTTCTTTGAAGTAGTCTGGAAATATGGCTGCAACTGTTCAAAACTCCAAGATGTAAACATCACCTTTAACTGAAATTAATATCTATTAATACTTTTTTATTCCTTTAAATCTCAGCAGTCTTTCTAAAATTTCTTGTTCTATCTTCTCTTTTACAGCTCAGTTCTTGCCATGCTGTGCTATCAACTCAGCTTGCAGATGCAATGATGTTTCCTATTACCCAGTTTAAAGAAAGGGATTTAAAAGGTATAGTGATCAAACAAATATAATTTTAATCAACAGCAGCAATAGCAAATTAATAGCAAATCAATCAACAGCAATAAGAAAACCACAACATTGAAATAAAACTGTGAATCTTAATTTTCTAGTTTTTTTATGAATCTTAGAAATTACTTTTTGGCATTAGTTGGTTGCTAAATTATAGACTAAACAGATTATGCTTTTTGGACAGGAGAATATCAGTATCTCAAGGCTAAAATTACTCATCAGAGTGTATCATTTTTGGTAGCCCTGACAGTCACATAAATGAGACTAATGGCTCAGTAAGAAGAGACTCTCTCAGCCACATAATGCCTCTGCTGATAATTCAGTAAGGTGCAAGGTGTAAATTACAACAGTTCAATAATGAAACATGGCAGGAGAAACCTTAATATATGAACGTTATTATTAATTAAATGTATAAAATACCTTAATTTACTTCAAGTCTTCTTTTTACTTTTTTTTAGAGATACTAACCCTAAAAGAAGTTTTCCAAATTGCAAGCAACGGTAAGTGTAGAATAAAAGTTATACATATTACAAGATGACTGTATCCAAAGCTATTAAAGCTGTTGTGTTATAACATTTGCTGAGAAAATTAGTCCAGATATTTGCCAAGAGATTAATAGTGACTAATAAGGCTGTATCTTTTTCAGTGTTATTAAGGCACCCAGCTTTCCCTAGCTGACTTGTCCTTTGCATAGCAAAGGGTTAAAGTGACTTGCCAGTAAACTTCCTTACAGTACTTTCAATGTGTGTATATAGGTAGTTATTAAGCAATTTGGGATTTTGCTACCAAAAGTACAAAAATAAAGGTGTTAGCTTACTTTCTGAAGTGAGGGATAATTTAGTAGTTGCGAATTTTAAATCCATAAAATAATAGCTTGATAGTTCTCTTCCTGTATTAGAGTTCCCGGCTGTATTGTCAGTAGATACTTTTTTAGGTAGCTCTCATATCCTGTAGAGAACATGTTTTTTAAATCCTTAATTAAAGATTCTACCTTTCTTTTTATGGATAGCTTGATTGCTTTAGAAGCAAACAGATTAGGTAAAGGTTTTCATGATGGAAAGCTGTCTATTTACAGGTTCTTTTTAAGGTTCTGCATTTGAATATTAAATGTTGAGGAAAAATAGGAATTATTTAACTGTATTTGCATCTGTTCAGAACTTTTCCTGAGCTGAAGCACTTGTGTCTGTGAGGTAGTTGTGAAGATGCAAGAACAGCTTTGCAGTCAGCTTGCTGTGCATTGACATACAGTGATACAAAAGTTCTTTTTCATAAATTCTTTCTTGTTTGCTTAGACCATGATGCTGCCATTACTCGATACGGTCGGTTGTCAAAAAGAAGGGAAAATGAAAAGGTTTGTAAAACAATGCGTTATATAAAAACTTCAGAGAAGTTAAATAATTTTAATTTAATATATATTTATGATAGAGGATAATGTGGAACAAACAGATTTCACTTCAAGTCTGATAGTTGATGTTCTAGTAGTGCAGACAGTTTTATGCAGAACACAAGGCCAGATTTTCCCAATTCCTGATTGTCTTGTAACACTGAAAATGCTTTGAGGTAAAAGTTGTGATACTATATTCAAGTTATTTTGGTTAAGAACCACTCTTTCAAGGTGGGGAAAGAAATATATCTGATTTATCTATATCTATCTATATCTTTTCATGTATATCTCAACCATAAATTGCAGAAGGGGAATTGTAGAACTGAAGATGCAATTGCTGGTGACTGAGGATAAAAAACATTGCTGTGTTGTTTCTCCATGCTGGCTATAAAGCCAGCCAGAAGGCATGTGAGGAATATCAAGTCTCAAATATTCTTTCCCTCCCTCTTTTTCCCCTTGTCTCTTCAGATCAAGGCAGAAGTTACAGAAGATGTATACACTTCCAGGAAAAAGCAGCATCAGACCATGATGCATTATTTCTGTGCATTAAATACTCTCCAATACAAAAAGAAAATTGCAATGCTAGAACCCTTGCTAGGATACATGCAAGCTCAGGTAACTTTCTATTCTGAAAGCAGGTCTGCAATAGGATACAAAATAAGATACAAAAATGCTTGATGACAGTTGATCTAATTAAATCCTTTGCAAGATTTCTTTTGCAATCCAAAGAAGCAAAGCGGGCAGGGAAGGAAACAGCACCTTGTCATTCCTGAAGCTGTCGTAGCTGTTGCCATGAACATGTGTTACTACTTCACACCTACTAATCATTTCCTGCTCAGTATATGAGGGGTGTTTTGAATCTCATTATGACCTACTGCACTCACACAGGAGAGTCTTTGGGGAGCGGCTGGGTTCCAAATATAAGGGTCTAATTATACTCCAAAACTCAGCTGCCTGAATTTATTGCCGTACCTGTATTTTAGGTACTATTTGTTTGTTTGTTTTTCTCAGTTTCATTAGTAATGAGAATGGCTGATGAAGGCTTAAGTGCATGCAGGATAGGAGGAAACATTCCTTCTCAGAAAGTACTGCAGGCAATTCTTAAACTTTTCCTTGGGCATCTGTTCTGAGACAAGATAATTTTCAGAGACATATAACTGCTACCTGCAGGCTGGGATGTGAAAGAACTGGAATGCTCAAAATTATTCTAGTTGCTTTTTGTTTGATAAAAACTTAGTGAATAATTGTTTTACTTGAGAATGAGCACAATAGAAAATGCAAGTCTGAAAAAAAAATTTTGAAGACTTCATTTAGCTTTTTAATCAACATGTTAAAAAAAAGGGAGAAAAAAAAGAAAGAGAGAAAAACAGTAAGCGGGCAAACTTTCCAGAGCCTGGCACTGATTTCCTTCTCGCAGAGCCACCTCCCCCCAGAAAAGAAGAGGAACAAAGATAAAAATAAAAGCCACTTGTAATATAGCAGGTAGCCTACTGGCAGGCATTAAGCTGTGGAAAAACCCAAAACATTTTGTGTACAGAGACCACTGGATCTCTAAAGATCCACTTACCCCTCTGCCTTCCCCGGAGCAGTTGCCAGCTGGATTAACACATTTCTCTCTTTTTTTTTCCCGAAGTGTCTCTTTAGGCACAATTAAGTTCCCACTTCAGGGCCAACATCAACCTTCACTTGCAGGCAGAAATAAAAAGATGTCTTCTGCCCATCTTATTGAGAGGCATTGGAGGGAATGAGAGATTGAGAACAAATATCTCTGAGAAGCTTTAAGCACTTGGAGTTCCTTATGTTAATTGTTTATTTACTCTTATTCATGACTAAATTCTCACCTTTCCTCCTCTTTTTAAGATAAGTTTTTTTAAGATGGGATCAGAAAATCTTAATGAACAGTTGGAAGAATTTTTGACCAATATTGGCACAAGTGTACAAAAGTAAGTCATTTTTGTTAAATTTTGAACAATTATCAAAACGATTACACTTCTGTTTCTGCATGTTAATAAATTATCTTTGTTAATAAATACCTTACCTTAGCGTTCGCAGGGAAATGGACTGTGAAGTAGAAACCATGCAACAAACTATAGAAGACTTGGAAATAGCTAGTGATCCACTATATTTGCCTGATCCCGATACTACAAAATTTCCTGTTCATAGAAATCTAACACGGAAAGCTGGCTATCTCAATGCAAGAAAGTAAGACTTTTAACGTGTTTAATTTTGAAAAGAAAAAGCAATAGTAAACAACATCCAGTAAAGCTTTGGGATTCAAGTTGCTAATGAATTACAGTAACAGTGTGGAAATAATAGACAAAAATATTCACTGTTAACCTTAGCAGGATTTTCAAAATATCTGTCCTAATTTCATGAGGTAGTCTCTGGTCCACTGGAGGGAGCTGTTACTCTGTGTGTATAAAGTCAAGATGTTGATTTTTATAGTTGTTAAAAGTTATGAAACTCTTGAGTTTTTCCATATTGACACAGTAAATATATTTAATTTCCTTAATATAAGAAAATATTATTTCCTTAATTTATATAGTATATCTCACATGCAAGCAGAATTGTTTAAAAATTGAGATTTTTCCAATAACAATTGGAAAAAATAGAATTGAGGTTGACTGAGTTTGAGGTATGAATTCCTTAAGCAAAAAACAATTGCAGTAATTATTACTAAATAGAGTATCCTACAGAAAAAAAAAAAGATGTTAAAGTTCAAGGGTTGGTGATTTTTGGTTTCAGGTTTTATTTTTATTCAAAGAGTTTTCATTCAAAGAGTTTCAGGTTTTATTTTCATTCACATGCTCTAAGCACAAATTGGGATTTTGTTGAATGGTATAGAATAGCTGTAGATTAATTAAACTGTTTAGTTGAGAAAGAAGAGCAACTAATGAAAAGCTACTAATTTATCTGTAAAGCAAAAAAACAGATTTCCTAAAGTGCCCAGGTGGTTTGCTCATGAAATTTATTTTCATATATATGTCTTTCCTAATTTATACAGCTCTGCTGAATTCCTAACCTCCTAAATCAGAATCTCATTTCATGTTTTAGTAAGACTGGACTGGTATCTTCCAGCTGGGAGAGACAGTTTTACTTCACTCAAGGTGGAAACTTGATGAGCCAGGCAAGAGGTGATGTAGCTGGGGGACTTGTCATGGATATAGACAATTGTTCAGTGATGGCTGTGGATTGTGAGGACAGGCGGTACTGTTTTCAGATAACATCTTTTGATGGTAAAAAGTGAGTATTCTTTGATTACTTATATGTGTTAGTAGTAATGTACTCACTATTTAAAAAAACAATAGTTGCCAGATTAAAGCTCAATAGATTTGGGAAGTATTTTTTATAAGCAAACCGGGATTTTTTACTTTGGTCTGCCCTAATCTTTTATGAGTTTCTGCTAACGTAGCTGATTCCTACGTCAGAGTAAAGTTACCCTAATCAATTTAATGGTGTCATACACATAGCTACCCCTAGAAAATTGGATTTTTATTTGTGAAAAAAACATAAAATCCAAACACCTTTTCTAGAGATCACCAAAGCAATTACAATTATTTGGAGAGACTGAGATATTAGCACATGGAATAATCCAGTTTCGTAGTTTTGGTGATTTTGTGAAATTATTTCCATAAATTATAATATTTTGGGAATGCTAAATAAACCAAGTTTGATTTTAATGAAATGCTTTGGATCTCTGTTAGAGAAAATCTATCTCGAAAGTTCTTAACCTCTTTGCCATTCGTAGAGTCCTATATGCTATTTTTAGCGCTTGCATTTTTTATATTTGTTTTTATATATATAAAGTAGATCAAACTTTGGGGTTTGCTCTTTTGCAACCTTTACCTTCATTGCAAAGGACATGGCATGGTGTTACGATTGTGTCTAAATCTCACATGAAAAGCCTATCCAATTTTTTAGTGTTTATTACTTTGTGCAATGCATTATCATGCAAATGAAGTGTAGAGTCTGAATATATTTGTGAGGCATTTCAATAAATTTAAAATAAAGGTTTTCTTTTCTATTCTCTCTGTTTCAGGTCTTCAATCTTACAGGCAGAGAGTAAAAAGGATTATGAAGAGGTAAGCTCACAGCAGGTTCACATGGAGTCAAATATTTTCTATTGCACAGAAGAAATACACCAGCTCAGACATACCAACCTCAAATACTAGCTCAACAAACCTATGTAAACTGCACTGTAGCAAATGCGGGAGTAAAGTCATAAAAATCAATTTTATGTTGTTTCTGAGATTTTTAGGAGAGCTTTGCCTCCTGATTCTGAAACTTTTGCCCTCATGTGCCCTATTAAGGGAAGAGAGTTTGTAGCCATCTTCAGCAGTTCAAGTTTGTGACTTCCTGGGCTGCAGCTGCTGGCCTGTTTTTTGGACAAGCTCTGGCTCAATGAAGTATGCATGTAAACCAGCTAATTTTCTGCTTTGGAGAAAAAGGGAAAAGCAAGGAGCAGGAGAAAATGGTTAAAAAAACGAACAAACAAACAAAAAACCTACAGCAGGCCTAACACTTTGTTTTTTCTTTTTCAGTGGATATGTACAATAAACAACATATCTAAACAGATATATTTGAGTGAAAATCCTGAGGTAACTTTTATAAAATGTATAGTATAAGTGAAAACTTAACATGTAGATATGCACAAATGTAAAATGAGGTCAGTTGGATCTAACTGGATTGCAGACAATTAAGCCAAGTACTTTCGACATGTCTGTTTATAAGCTTTTCATGATACTTGTTGATAGCACTTCATAAATTTATATATGGAAGCAGTACATTGTTTCTTTCATCTAAATGCTTATATAGTATCAAAAATGTAACTTGTATATTTGGTACAACATTTTGAAAGCTTCACTGTCCTATATCTGTATTTTTTGTAATATTTCATTACAAATTAATGTGAATATCTGGATGGATACATCAAATTTCTACTAGAGCCAACTATCAATATTCTGAATTAAATTAACATAGTTATTATGGAAAAGCCATAGGAAAGCCATTATATTTTCACTTTAGTAAGTTTTTTTGCATACCGAAGAGACATAAAGCAATAATTTTATGTCTGCCTTCTCCTCTGTTCCTGGCTGCTTTGCACTCATTCTCACTTCTTTACTCACAAACTTGATTAAGGTTAAAATATATTTTATCAACTTTTAAAGTCTTGGTATCTTTATTCAAGCTACTGTTATTATTTAAGTCTATCTTTTTTTTATACAGCTAATATCTTTTGTTTCTGCCAACTGTACATACATAAAAGGTAAAATTTTAAAATTTACTTCAAGGGAAATGTTTCCAGTATTATTTTTTTCCAACTGTGTGCTACAGGAAATAGCTGCACGTGTAAATCAGTCAGCTCTGGAGGCTGTTACTCCATCTCCATCCTTTCAACAGAGGCATGAGAGCATGCGGCCACCTGTGTAAGTTACTGTAGTCATTTGAAGAGTAGATTTATAGCAAACTCAAGTTCTCCACTCTATCTCGGAAACTTTGCTATCTGGGTCAAATATTGGGTTTATTTGTTGTATATATTCATAAGGAGATTTTCTTTAATGCCTCCAGCTCTTGGAAGCAAATCCCAGATTATAATATATTTCTCATATGTAGTTGTATTTTTCATGTTTTAACAGTCTGATTCAATTGTTAAAGCAAAGTGTAAAGTGATCTAGCTACTTGAACTAGGAGCCTAGGCTAGGTTTGTATTTACTTCTTTTTTTTTTTTTTTTTCTTTAAGTTTTAGTCTTGTTTTATAGCCTTGTCTTGGAACATTATATTTGTCCTCCATTTGATTTAATTTATTATAAATCAATTTGATATTAAGATATCCATAGTTTGTTTTTGTTTTATTTTAGGCAATCTCGCCCCCCTGCAGCTCGTACTAGCAGCACAGGGTCTTTGGGATCGGAATCGGCAGCGTTATCGGCACTTTCTTTGGATTCACTCGTTGCCCCTGACACTCCTATACAGTTTGACATAATATCTCCAGTTAGTGAGGATCTGCCTGGTCAAGCAAAAACTTCAGGGCAGTTGGGAAGGTAGGAAACCTCAAGACAAGTGAAAGAATCCTAAAGTTAATATTAAACTAAAAAAATTTTTAAGCTGCTACTCCACTGCATACACTGCCTTTGCTCTGACTTTTTTGTTAAAAAATTTGTAGGGACCAGTCAAACAAAACATTTTTCCCTTTTTTCTTTTTTTTTTTTTTTTTTTGTTTAATTACAGTTGTAAAAGTGTAGATTTTTAAAATACAATAGATTCAAGGTGTAGCTTTCTACCTTGGCAGCAGCTTGTCTGCTTTAACAGCCAATGCTTTTTTTTTTTGCCTTTTTTTTTTTTTTTAAATGATTTGGTTTCACAAAGTATTTTCCTTTCCTATTGCTTGCTCACCCAGCAGCTTGGGTATTTCCTCTTGGAAACTCAAGAGAAATTTGGTAGCCCTGCCTCCAGGTGATGATGGCATACGATGACACTCCTCTTATCTTAAAAGGTGAGTGAAAATGATCTAGGCTTCTAGAGTGATTCTAGGCTTCTAGAGTGATTTCATATACAGAAATTTAAAAGTGTCTAAGAGCTCTACTCAAAACACCTTTGTTCCTAGTTTATTTTTTTATAATCTTCCCATTCAAAAATAATAATAAAAAGCTTGTAAATGTACAGTGCATTTCTGAAACTATATGTGCAGAATCCCTTTTTTAAGAAAGCGTATTTGCTGATCCAGATGCTCTTAAGCTGAAATGCTGAAAAATACTTTCAGTGACTTCAGTCACAGCAATGTGTATCCCTCTGCCCCCTAAAAATATTAAAATTTTCAGTTGTATTTCATAGATACGTGGCAGTTTAAATGATACATATTCAACTCTTTTTTTTTCCCACTTTTTTTTCCCTGTACTACAGCAGGATAATTGTGACTAACAAAGATTGCTAAATCTGCAATCTCAAGATCCACATCCTTATTGATTAAAATAGACATGAACTGTATTCTATTGTGGCAAATGGAAAGCCTAACACATTTTGGCAAATGGAAAGCAGTCAGTATTCAGTTAGCCATGCACTGTCAATAAGGACCTGCAGCATTTGGTCAAGACAGTTAACGTGCTACTTCATTTTTGAAAGGACTTTGTTAGCTTCTGGTACTGCTGGCATTTTTTTTTCTTTTATTAGATCCTTGGATATTTTGCATTGTTCCATCTAATCCTAAGGGACAAGTCTAAGCAATAAAAGATACTAGTAGTAAGAAACTCCCTTTGCTATATTTACACAAGTCAACATTTAATGGGAAGTTTCTCTTTTGAATCTGTGTTATATGAATATTGCAGCACTGAAATGTTAACTTTGCAGTTCAGTCTAGAATAGTATTATTCCTTTCATTAGACATCTTCTAATTAGGATTTCACTGATAAAAACATCAGTCAATAAAACATGTAAATGAACAAGAGATTCATATAGTTCTTCTCTGATTTATGCTTTCAGATTATTTAATGGAGATCTAACCTCTCAATATGTCTTCCCTTAAAACCCAATTTGAAGATTATCTGCTACCTTACTGATGATTTTTTAGCTGCCAGTTAGCCAGAGAAATAGGTTTTCTACTCTTTAGAAATTGGAACTATTTTCTTGTTCTCCGTATTCTGTTCTGAAAATATAGACTTGGAAGCCTAGAGTATTTTCACTTTTCCTTGTAACCGATAGAAATCTTGTCTTTGAGAGTCAGAAACAGCCACATTTCTCTTGACCATCTAGGAGTAAAACCCCAATGATTGTTTTCAGAGAGCTGCATCTGAAACAAAACCAGTGACTTCTCTTCAATAAGTAATTCAACAGCTTGAGGCAGTGACAAGACCTGCTGCTTTTACTGAGTACTGAAAGGACTAGCTTTTGGCTGTGCTTCCCGAGGATTCAGGGAGATATCATCCCCTAAAACCGTGTGCTCCCAAACTTTAACAAGGTTGTGTCTCATCAAGGCTTAACTTGCATATAAAAAATATTACGCCGAGCAAACTTTCTGTGGCAGCACTGAGACAATAACATCTAGCATTTTTTTCCTGTAATTTGAGCCTTTAAATGTCTTGAATTATTTCTTACCACCAATTTTATGATTCACCATGCCTTAATTCCTCCAGTTGTAAGTCTGTTAAAATATTATGTGGTGTTTTTCTTTGACACGGCGTGAGACTAGGTTACTCATTAGTTGTTCTTGTGATCTAACTCATGGTTTAATGTTTTCATTTTTTTAATAGACGCACAAATCCTTTTGGTGAATCTGGAGGCTCAAAATCTGAAACAGAAGGTAAAACAGAAATTTTACTTCAATGCAAAATGATGTAGTTAAATAATTCTTAAAATAATACAGAAATTAATTTTGTATTTTCTCTTCATCTGTAGCTTTTCAACTTAATATTGGCTTTGGAAATTGCATTAAAATATATTAGACAAGACTCAATTAGATCAAATAGAATATAAGATTATAATAAAGTCTTTTATGAATATTTATAAATGTTTTTAAAATAATTCCTTGGATTGCATATTTTGTATTTGTATCTGAAGCTCTCTTTACTGTAATCTTAACCTCAGAAAAGGTATTTTTTGAATGAAAGACCCCAAACCAAGTTAGCTCATTCAATACTTTTGTTTGTCTTAGATTCCATTCTTCATCAGTTATTTATTGTAAGATTTCTTGGCTCTATGGAGGTGAAATATGATGAAAGTCCAGATGTTGTTTATGAAACAATGCGTCAAATACTAGCAGCTCGGGCCATTCATAACATTTTCAGGATGACAGAATCACATTTGTTAGTCACTTGTGACTGCTTAAAGTAAGTGTGCTTCTTAACTTCAAATGATGCTGATTTACAGACTGGTCCTCTTGCACTTTGGTAAAACTTACCTTCTGGTTTGTTTTTTAAAAATAAATCTTTAGGTTAATTGATCCACAGACACAAGTTACAAGACTACGAGTAAGTAACATATTTTAAGATAAATATCCTGTAATTTAGTTATTTTACTTTCTAAATAAAACTACTGGATAGTAACAAAAATATTTTGTTTGGAAAATTATCTGGAAATCTTATTGAAATTAAGAATAATGAAACCTCTTTAAAATAGGTAGAAAAACACTAGAAAATCAGGTTTGAGGGGAATTATTTCAGTGGATGAAATAAGCTTTTCAAACATTTTTTGGGGTGATTTGATAAGGTAGGATCTTAAAGTAATGCGTATTATATCATAATGAAAGAATTGATAGTAAATATTCTTATGATTAATAGAAAGGTAGTAACATTAAGGTTGGAGTTGACTGAACTAAGTCCAACAGAGTGATTTGATTTTGTTTTTTAATGCAGAATAATAGTAAAAATAGAATTCTTCATAGGATATCAAGTATGGCCAGCTTATTTCTTCAATAACAGCAGTCTTTAATATTTCAAAACTGATTTAAAAAAATAGTAGTTTTTAATTTAACGTATTTGGATTTTTTTTTTTTGAGACATACACTTTGTCAACCTCTCTGAACTATTTAAATATCTTTGAGGAACTCATTTAACATATGAAAACTCCTGAGATTACAAGCAGTACTTTCTTTTCTTGATCTTTGGTATATTTAAATCAAAACTGCCCCAAAGCTGTAAGTAACTGAACACTTGCACAGATGTAAGAAACACCATAATCTAACTGAATATGGTTATGGTTTGGAAAAACACTTTTAATCTCTCAATTTATATAAGCTGTATTAGGGATCTTCAGAAGCAAACAAACAACTTACGTTAGGTCTTGAAACAAAAAACACTTTTGAAATTTCTAGCTGAAATAGGAGAATGAAAAATACCTTTACTGGAATAGGGTAATGACTTGTGTAGCTCAGAAGAGGTGAACTAGTACAGTAAAAGTTTGAGAGAGAAGTAGTTTCCTTACCTGGGACCAGTTACTGATGGAATTTGTACAAATGGTTTAAGAAAAGAATAATTCACATGCAGAAGGATAACTGAATCTTATTGCAAATGTGAAGCTATTCTTTCAGGGGCTTTACATTTTTAATTATATTCATTTCTTTTGCATAACTGAATTCTCCTCTTGCAATCCACAGTTAGTCTTTAATAGAAACATGTTTCATGTTTTAATTTTTTTTCTCTAGTGTGATTGTGTATTTATCATGTTGAAGTAGTCTACAGTGCAGTGAAATCTCATACAGGAAAGCGGTGGGAACCCCTTTTAATGCCCGCGTCTTGGCTCGCTTTTGGCAGTTTCCGTTGCCCAACGTGGTCCTGTACGCCACGCACCAGGAGAACAGGCGCCTCTTCGGCTTCGTGCTCCGAACGGCAGCCGGCAGAACCGAGAGCCGCCAGACTTCAGTCTGCTACATATTTGAGTCTAACAATGAAGGGGAAAAGGTACTCACCGTGCTTGGGCTGTGTCAGCATTTATTCTGACCTGCACTGTAAGATGTCAAGCCAGTTCAAGGTGGCTGGGAAAGCTGTGGGATATGTACTTAAAACTGTCAGTTTTAAGTATTTGCAAGGACTATAATGTGCTATCATGAAAGATCTGATTTTGGAATTAGGTTTAGTTTTGAACACATTTTTATTATATTTTTATTGATTATTTCAAATTTGATTTCTGTTTAGATTTGTGACTCTGTTGGACTGGCAAAACAGATTGCTTTTCATGCAGAACTGGTAAGGCTGTTTTGGGGATCTTTATGACTAGAGGGGAAAGGTGGTTCAATACATGAAACAGAAGATATTCTGCAAGATAATTAAAGATGGAATAATACTGTCATGCAGGAGTCTAAGACATCTGGTGCATAGAATTTAAACATTAGATAAAAACATTTTCTGCCAAGCTCAACTGCCAAACTATAAATAGATAGCATATCAAAAGTTTCAGGACATTTTTACTTATTTTATTTATGTATTTTTTCCTTAGGATCGAAAAGCATCAGAAAAGCAAAAAGAAATAGACAGAGTAAAAGAGAAACAACAGAAAGAACTCAGTAAGCAAAAACAGATTGAAAAGGTACATTTCACTGTTAGTTAATACTTGCTAATTTTCAGATTGTTCTTTGTAATTTTGCACTCAAAACTATAGCATTATATTCATCAGGAAAAATGCATAGAACACTGTGAAATTTAATTATTACAAATACCTCCTGTACAGGTTTTGTATAATTTTTTATGCTAGCTGTTAAAATCCCCTTTCCCAGGAGATAAGCCACAAAACCTCTTTACAGAAGCATTTAAGAGCAGTGCCTGAAGGAACAGCTATCACAGGCCCCAAATACAAATGCATCTGTCAGGTTATGTTCACCTTGTCTGACTGCAATTTATTATCTGCCATGTAGTGAGACACGTTGTTTGATATTATGAGGAAGGAGCTGCAGGGAGCAGCTGCAAGCCAAGATGCTTGTTCTGAGCTGCTCTATTTACGGACTGTAGGTACAGATGTGTTACGTGCATTAGCTTCTTTCTAACGCTCCCAACCAGCGACTGAAACTAGATTTTTTTGGTAGAGAGGGCACTAAAGTGTCCCTAGGAAACTAAAACAAAGTTTAGTGATAGAATTGAAAGATACTTTACAAACTGTAATGATGGTATCCTGTTACCTAGGAGACTGCAAAATCATTATTTTTCTGATTTTTTTTTCCCCCTACTTTTTTCAAATTAGGACTTAGAGGAGCAAAGCCGCTTGATAGCAGCTTCCAGCAGAGCAAACCAGAGCAGTGGAGAAGGACAGTTTGTAGTCCTTAGCAGTAGCCAGTCAGAAGACAGTGATTTAGGAGAAGATGGAAAGAAGAAAAGAGAATCAGAAGCCTAAAGTTGCCTGCTTCATTGAAACTGGAATCATCGATATATCTGGTCAACTGGCACAGTATCTACATGAAGCAAGATGCAGGTGGAGGTTCTATTGTTATATAGAAGATATCCCGATATACAGATGCCCTTATGCCTTGATTTTTCTTTAACTTATTTCCATTTTCTTGTCTGCATAATGTCTTTTCTGTATGTCAGATCAAGCGTGGTGATGCTGCCATGTTTACTATGAAATTACAGCTTCTAAAGGCTTCTCTGCAGTATGAAAAAAGTGGAGTTTTATCTTCCACTTACCTGGCTGTGCAATTGACTGCTCTTGAAGCAAGAATTAGCCTCTCATTGGACTTAACAATATACTGAAATTTGTTCTTTACACTGCAGTATGCAGAACACCTCGTTGGAAACAAAAATGGATATCCAAATAAGATAGTGCTAAGCTTTACCTAACTATTGTTGCAGTTAACTATTCCTAGATTTAGAAAGAAATATCCTTATTAATGTCAGTGAGATGTGCATTAGTTCTAAGTGAAAAGAATTTTTTTTTTTTGCATACCACAATTTATGGTACTGCCTTGTTTTATTTTTGTTGAATATAATATTGGAAGACTTACCCAAATAGGGAAGGAAAAAAAAAAAAAAGGTGTTAAACTTAGAAAAGAGCTGAAGACAAGATACAGTTGCATCTTTCTGCATAAGGAATATATAAATCATTCCTTATCAAATGGTAAGAATACTGTACATATTCTTGTAGCACAAGTGCCATGTGCTTGCCTTTCCCCAGTACTTGTAAACCTTTGCATTCACTTTTATAAAACATGCCTACACTTGCAAGAACATCTTGAATATCATTGGATCTTCTGAATACTTAAATGCCTTGTCCTCTGCTCACTACTCATAGTGAAAATTAATTGAGGCCCTTGAGGTCTTCTCATAGCAATATATTTTGCAAAGAGAATTAAATAGCCCTCAAGAAATGTTAATCCTACATCCTAAAGTCAATCCTGTAAAACATTTTTCAAAACAGTATATGTTTACAGCTCTTAAACCCTATCTCCATTCTCTATACCCTGTAATATTTATTTTATATAGTACTAAATGTGTACTTACCTTTCAATTCAGAGCAGGAAAATTGTTTTAAGAGAGATTTATTTTTGCACTAATAACTAAACTAAAATCCAATGGAACAGTTTCTAATAGTGGTATGAAAATAATAGGAAATGTAGAAAGAGAAGAATATACTTATAATCCCATTTATATTATAACAAGTAAAAGTGCTTTACAGTTCATTGCAGGGTCTTTTGGGGTATTGATGGTTAGGAACAGACACAATTTTCACCATACTTCCCACCACTGGTGCTGGCCCCATGTTTCACAGCTGGAGCTCCCTGGTGCTGGGTGACAGTGGGCGAGCGATGGTGGTATCTCCTAGGTATCCGCGGGGATGGAGGGGACACCCCCACGCATGGGAGTTCCCTTGTGTAAGCTGAGGAAGGCAGCCCCCTCCCCACTATAGCGCAGAGAGGCCAGTTTCTCTGCAGCAGTTGCAGGTACCTGGCTCCTGTCACAGGAGAGCAGGGCGGGAGTTACCTACCAGCCCAGCCTGCTGCAGGAAGAGCAGAATTTGCTGCAGGRAGAGCAGAGGTTACTGCCTTGGAGCTGCTGCTGTGGGAGGAGATAGAGCCAGGGCGCTCTGCTGCTGCTACAGGCACCAAAGGGCACGGAGGGGACTCGGCAGCCTCAGAAGCAGTCACGGTGCATCTGCCTTCTGGGAGAGGCTCAAGCAGGAGAATGAGATATTAACAAACCTCCATGTTTTCCTCTTGTATTACAGCTCCTGTTCCCATACATTTTTCATCCCCAAACAAGTCAGACAAGTGCATAAGTACCTGTTTTTGTTATTGCCTAGTCAGGCCAAATGATATTGGCCTGCGACCAACCTTGCCCAACACCATGGCAGATGGACCATGCAGATCTGAGGCTTTGTACGCTATCTAAGTGGTATTTCTATTTCATCTATAGTTTTGCATTCTCAGCTCTGGCTTTACTTATGAAGCTGTTTTAGTAGGCAGCAAGTGCAAATGGTCTTCATGCCTCAATCTAGGCTTACAAGTTGTTGCATAGGAGCCAGATTGTCCCTTCAAGTTGGTATTTTTTTTTTTAACATGGTGTTATTGGTCTTTTTCCAGTACATGCAGGAAATGAAGCAACTTTGAAACAGCATAAGAAGAATATGAAGTCACTTATCTCCAGTTTTGAGAATTTAGGCACACAGTTGTCTGAGTAAGAGCAATTAACAGCTGACAGATTAGCAGTCTTATCAAAAAACATTTCTGTTGTGTAGCCTCTAAGTGATTCTGCATTAGCTTGCTGAAGAGATGTTATCTTTTCTTGAAACCCATTATTAATGTTTTAGATATAAACTTGCAATGATAAGGCAGAGAAGAGAAAACTATTTCATTAAACTTTCTCTTAAACTTACAATGATAAGGGACATTTCAGATGTAATAGTAGATGATTGGAATTGTTTCATTTGCTTTGTGGACTTTCCGTCTGTGTTATTACATGTAGTCTCCTAAGACAGCACAAGAGTGAACTGCATATCATATGCATTAGATGAATGTCCTAGCCCTTAAAAAGCAGAGAAATGAAAGAAGGGGCTGGTTCTTAGCAGAAAGAAGCTAGATTGAAGCTAGAAGACAGATGAATGAAGTAGGGTTTTTGGCTTCTTTAGGAGAGTCTGGTGCAAAATGAGCATAGCTCTTAAAGAGCATGCAGGAGAGTGATGAAGGCTGCAAGGGGAAATGGCAGGTCAAAAGGGATCAAGAAGCTGAAGTGGAAACAGTGCAATGAGTTGGAAGTGGAACTGGGTGATAATTTCCTCAAGGCAAAGACCATTTGCTGAGATTTTATTCCGGGCCTTGTTCCCAAAATGCTAAATAATTAGTATCCCTTTTTCTCATGTGGTTTGGAAGTTCTTCATTGGAAAACATATTTTTTTTAAAACAAGATTTTAGAGAAAACTTAGTATTTTCTTTGAGAGTATACCATAATATAAATGCCTAATGGCCTCCTGGGAGCCACTGTGGTAGAATGTCAACAGTGTTTGATTATCCTAAGTAAATCACTAGTGAGTATTCTCTCCTGTAGTTTATTTCTCCCTTTTTTTTTTTTTTTTAATCTCTAGACTGATCTTCTAAGCACTGCAGCTGAAATTTTATTTTGCATTCTTCTAAATTTAACCTTTTTATTTCAGAAAAAATCCTTGATTTTTAAAATGACTTTGTATAATTACTGAAACAGTAATCTTGACTAGGGATATATTTTCATGTGGCTAATTACTTCTAAGTACTTAATGTCCCCTTCCCTAATGGTAAAAAAGCCGACAGTAAGTTTGTGACACACTACTGACCACAGCAAATTTTCACATCAGTTGCTGAGCTACATCACAGAATGAGCTATGTGCATTCTCTATGAATGTAATGGTGAGAATATCAACATTTACAGAGGGTGCCTATGGGTATGCATTTTATTGCACTATAGCTGATACCTAATACTCCTCCATGGCTATGAAGGCATTTTCTTTAAACTGGAGGAAAACTTAACAGATTTGTCTGTAACATACAACTTAGAGAACTTCCTACAGTTGGGCAGTATAAATGAATTGTGATTTCATTGTTACTTCTTTAATCTTTTTAAGTTTTAAAACTGTACCACCAAGGTAAGAAAGCACTGTTATCACTAATGTCTCGTGCTATTTCAGAAATAATTCACAGACAAGGCAAACCTGCTTCTGCTGACACTCAGTGAATGCAGGAGAGAGAGATTGTCTAATCTAACAACACCTCGTATTTTACACTTTCCTTTGCTCTGTTTTACAGAATTTCTTGCAAGTCAATTAGTTTTCAAGGCTTTTCTCTCTAACCAGGCACTAAGCTGATTTTTTATCCTGCCACAGTGACATCCAATTTAGCAAGCTGAGCATAAGTTAGTGTGCCATTGGGAATGCATTTGTATTCGTAATCAAGTTTATATTGCAAGCTGAGGATTTTGTACAATCTTTCAGGTGTTTTTTATAATACAGTCGAGTGGTCACATACTTACTGGATTGGTCATGTTATAGTGAAGTGTAAGTAATTTTGGCAATGTTTGAGACTTACACGTTATTTTTCCTTGAATCGCTGTATTTATAAACCTCAAGTGGTATCCTTACTTTAACACTGATAGTTGTGTTTTAAGCTTGGAAACATGAATAGTAAGCGTGTTTTGCCACGGCTTCAGTCAGCAGTTTGTAGGCTAAATAATAAACCTTAAGTATAGTAACTTTTGGGATGGGATTTGTACTGATGCAAAAACAGTCTGCTTTATTTCTAATTCTGTTTTTGAGAGATACTGTTACTGACAATAGATGTGTTCCCTTCCAGTGAGATGCAGTTGAATCCCTGTTTTCAAAGTAAATCTCAAATGCACAGAACGAGTTACTTTACTTGGGAAGGATGGCAACTTATTTTTTGCAACAATCCAAGATTGAACATTAAGAGAAGAAAATCCCTACTATTTTAGCTGGCTGTTTTAAGGCACATGTTTTAGTCATGTGACATTGTGTAGCACTTTGTAAAGAGCTACAGTTACATTAGTGGTCAGAATTCATGTGTATAGAAAAGCTATACCAGCAAAATCATTAACATGGGCACTGACACTATTTCACAAGCATCATTAGTTTTCTTTATTAAGCATCCTGTAAGAAGCAATGGATTATAGCTCCATAATAGTTAAATTTGTATTTTATAAAATTTGTAGATTTTCTGAGGGAAAATAAGACTTTTGAAATATATAACTTCTGTGATACAGATGCATGTATAAATGAAAATCTATGCTTACTTGATCATGAAGGAATAAATCTATTAATGCTAAGTGTTGTGATCAATTTTTTTTTTTTTTTTAAACACATGGATTCTTCTATAGTATTTTTAAGAACAAAAATTCTGTGCCTCTGTGTGCACTGTCTGAGAATACAGATCAGTAAACAGTATCCATCTCCATCACCTACCTGGAAATTGTTAGTGCCAAGTGACAGTGTAACATCACCCCATCAGATGCAAGTGTGCAATGATGCTACAAGGAGGCTTTTTCATTCAGAGAATCTAAGCATGATCGGAGCATTTGGCCTCTCAACTTGTACAGAAATACTGCAGTAGAAATTAAACTGTCACGTTCACTGAATGGAATAAGTTGCACATACTTCTTTTGTCTGCCAAATATGATCACAAAATGTGTAAGCACTGTTAGGTAAGAGTTCCCAAATATTAAGCCGAAACTATCTGAAGAGAAGTCCCCAAACCCTGCAAATATGCCTTTGGATAGCCCTGTAAAGTGAAAACCCGCTTCTAGAAAGAGCAATGAAATATTGCTCAGTACTTAAGATTCCCTCTTTCTGCAGCATGGAGGGAGTACATGGTGAGACTTGGTCTTCCTTCATATTGAGATATATTATATGCTCACACATACACACATATATGTAAAGGGGAGAAAATCCCAAAGAGAAAAGGAGCTGCATTAAAGTCTTACCCACTTCAACATTCCCTTCAAAATATAATAATTATGTACAGTTGAGGTTGTAGATTCCTATGAAGTTTTCCTGTCCATAAAGATCATATTCCTTGTATAGGATGTAGTCTTTCAAGCAGTTTGGCAGTGGAAGGAAGGTCATGAAGACAGGACAACGTAGACGCAAGCGGCCCATGCATTCCCGTATCTTCAGACGACAAAGATGCTTCAAAGAGCGAGTATTTGCTAGAAACAAAGTACAGTTGACAAACTTAGTTATTCAGCTTTGTGCAACTACACTGACAACTTTCAGATCTCTGCTCCAAATTTTGCTGCATACTTTTTCTCTGAAAAGATGGATTAGATCCATTTAACTGTGCTTAGATGACAGGACCTCTCAAGATCTAACCATTACACCTCAGCCTGTACACCTGTCAGTTATATAAGTAATTGTAGTCAGTTAAGTCAAAAGATTTTATTTCTGTCAAGTTGCTTAAATGCTAGTATTCTGTTATGCAAGTTTAAAAAACAGAGCTTGATATCAACTTTAATGAAGAACTTGGCACATAGAGAAAGCTCCTTTTTAATCACGAGTCCATAAAAAATTCCTAAGTATTCCCTTTGAAGAACAGCATGCTGTCCACATGTAATTAAATAGTGCTCTATGTTGTGCAAGTACTGCTATCAGAATTGTGAGAGACTTGCTCTAAATGCTGCAAAGACTGATTTTTGTTTAAGAGGTAGCTTAATGACAAAGCATTAAATTTAGTGTAAAAAGGGCCTTATTATTGGTCAAGAAAAGTACTAACCACAAGAAAGCCCCAAACAGTTTTACCTTTCCATTATCTAAACATCAGATACTCACTTAAAATTGAATTGATTTCTGGCCAGAGTTCCTGTTCCTTGAGAACTGCTTCTAGCTTCCAGCAGATATTAACGTGATCAACGTAATCTAACATTATTCGCACTACTTTGCCAGACAGATGCTTCAGCCATGACAAGGTGATGACTTCACAGAACTGAGAGAAACAAAACATTTAACAGAATAATGTTCAATTTTCCTGTAAATGACTTCCCCCTCTTCAGCATAAGAGCTGTTAAATTCTTTCAGAAGAAAACCAGGAAGAACTAGTGCTCTGTCAGTCAAGGGAGCTTTAGGTTGCCAGAGTTTGCGCTGAATCTCACTAGTAGAATAGTAGCAATTTTAAGCAGCACCAGAGCCCAGCTTTTCAGAAGGCGCCCCAGCGTGCTGAGCAGGAAGCCACGAGCTCCCTGCAGGTTAGCTTCAAGAGCACTTTACAAAACACAAAATAATACAAGTTGGTTAACTTCTGGACAGCATTTATCATGCCCTCTTCGGGGAGTCTTTGTGATGGGCTTTCAACATTAAGAACACAATAAAAAATGACCCAAACAGCTAGCATGTGAGCACTGGCTTTCATTGTGTGGTGAGATGGCCCTGGAAAGTCGATTTTGTACTGCTTACCAACTGCTTACTCTATCTTCACCATTGAAAAACATTAATTGTGATGATTTGCCATCACAAACCAGGCCTTATGCTAACACCTATTTAAAATCTATTTATATGTAAATGGCCTCAGAGTTTCAAAACCTCTTTTCCTGACAGAATGCATTAACAAGCACTTCCTCACTTAGGAGGATCCTGGCAGTAAATCAGCATATGAAGCATTCTGCTACACTTACCATTGTGTCTTTGATAACAGTAGAAGTCCATCCATCAGTCACATACTGGGAATGGGAACTACTTCCCCGAAGGCAGTCGAAGCAGCGGTGCACGTCGTAGCCGTAGTTCATCAACATTCTCAACATGACTTCATCTTTCAGCGCATACTGTAGAGCTGATGGAAAATGTGTTGTATTCACCCTGCAGAAGTAATTGACATTAGCCCCATGCCGGAGCAGAAGATTCATTAACTCATAGTTGCCCATTCTCAAGGCTATTTGGAGACAGTTGATGGGATCTTGGTTTGGGAGGGCTCCAGCATTCAGCAGTAACTGTGTTGAACAGATATCCCCATTCGAAACGGCGAAGTACAGCGCTGATTTCCTGTGGTCATCATAACCTTTGCGAACTCTTTGATCCAACATAAAATTGGCATCAAACCCAGATTTGAGGAGAAACTCAAGACACTGAGGATGTGCTCCTGCTGCAGCTGAGTGAACTGGACTTATCCCACTTTCTTTAATGGCATCAAAATCAGTAACTGGAACTAAGTTCTTTAAGGCTCTAAAGAGGAAGAAGAAGAAAAAAGAAAGATTGTGAGATCTTAAATAAGTATACTTAGACCAAGTGCTCAGCTTCTGAATTCATCATATTGTAAACAGTTGTCTTAATCTACCAAATCCATACCATGGTATGCTCTCCTTTCTGCATTAACTTAAATTTCTAACAATTAAAGAGTCAGCAATGACTTCACACTTGCTATACCAGAAATATTTAAAATATATCAAATGATGTTGTCATTCATAAACATTCCCATTCCTAGCTAGAAGGATAATGATTCCTTTGCATTAGAAACTTTTCTTGCATGATAAGAGGCATGCAGTTGCCTAACCCATAGAAATGTGGTCAGATCCCTGAGTTTGTTAAGCATAATGCAACTTTTCTAATAGTTGTTCCTCACTCTTTCTTTGTGTTTTTAGCCTATATATCTTTCAGTGACTTTTCCATCTTTAAGATGGGGATAACAGTTACCCTCAAGTCTACTTGATGATTTAGTATGTCTACATTACTATGAGAGAACCAAAATGAACACATCCCCCCCAAAATATAAGCACATCCCAAGCACCTGTACATCAACTCTGGGCAATAGAATTTCCCCACTTCTCACAAATACAATAGGGATCAAAAGCTTTATCCTAAAACAGATTACATCTTGACTGGCCTCTTCGATTCAGACACAAGAAAACTCATATTGTCCCAGATAAAAAAAATTACTTCTACCAAACTACAGATTTGCTGCTTGCTTTGAGTAAGGTAAAGTTATCAAAACAAATATTTGTTGTCACTATTACTTGAGTTTAACCCTTTTAACTCACAGGAAGTGTCCCCTATATGCAGCTCTGTGGATTGGCAAATGACCCGAGTGCTTTGGAACATTAGCATCAGCCCCATACTCTAGCAAAAGGCTCAGCGAGTCTGGATTTCCTCCTCCTGCAGCCTCAAACAACACAGAAGCACAGTCCATTGCCTGTGAAAGAACATCAGCACCTGGAGAGAAACATCAAGCATTTTCACCAGGTCACTGCGAATACCTAACGGCAATTAATATCTTGCACCTCTCCAGTGATGAGGAATTGTGAATTCTATCTTTTACCAAACAAAACCAGCACGAGCATAACCATTTGTGCTGAATCCTTGATATTATGGTTTTATATAGACTTTCTCATTCTCTAGATTAAACTGCTTTGTGTTCAATCACATAGGAAGGCTTAATGCTATCACGAGGCATGTGAGGGGGGTACTTCTTCAAACAAACAATTCTTTTCATCTTATCTAAAACACACTTCTCTACAAAGAGCAAAAAAAATCAATGTAAACAAGAAATACATACAGAATTGTAAGAGAGGAAAGACTCATCCCATACAGGAATATGTGAAAGTTAGAAGAGAAACTAGAAGAGAAACAACTTTGTTTCCTTAAAAAAATCTCAAAAGATTCGTAAAAGGAAAACTTTGATATGTCCTCTCATCAGGAAAAAGAACTAGTATCAAAATAGTTGCAACACTACTACGGAAATTTTATATATAAACACGCAGAGAGCATTTCTTTCAGAAATGCCAATTTTCACATGCCAGTGAGATAACAGCAATTGTTGACTTCTACAGCTGGAGCTTCCCCCTTCTTGAAAAAGGATTCACTTTGTTTGCCCTGTTTTGGATTTATACATTTCTATACTGCAACGTATGGCCATACAGTTTCTAACAAAGAACCACACTGAACGGTTTTCTAGAAACTGCACATAACTAATCAACCTACTCAGCTGTAAAACATACAATGCAGAGGTCTCACCTTTTTGCAGTAACAGCTCCATAATTTCTGTATGCCCAGTCTGTGCAGCTAATGCTAGAGGTGTGAGTCCATACCCGCTGCGAGGATCGGGGTCTGCTCCGGCATGAAGCAGAAGCTTCACCAGATCCTTCCTGCCTAATCTGGCTGCCTCATGTAAAGCAGTCCTCTTGTGGACGCATTGCAAGTCCACCTTTGCACCAAAATTTATCAACAGGGAGGCAATCTCATATGAGTTGTGTTTAATTGCTGTAAGACAAGAAGTGAAGTATTAGCCAGAATGTTACTCAACACTATTTTACTCTAACTTCCACGTGGCAGCCCAGGAAAGCTTATGCTGTTCCCTGGAGCGCTATTTATACACTGAGAAATGTCACAGTACACTAAAATTTTTAACTTACTAAGTTTGTTCTTTGTTGTTGGCATAATATTAATTATACATATGAAAAATTTTATTATTTATTTTTCTTTCTCTTTATCATCACCTGTTGCAGTTAGCAAAGTTTCTCCCTGTCACTAGATGGAGGTCATATACAGACACCTCAAATGATCAGGAGTTGGCCTGCTCAAGGAACTAAATAAAATCCACTAGCAGCTACTATAATATGTAATAAAACATAAAATGATTTTGTCACGTGCCTCATCTTAAGAACTGTTAAGATAAGATACATGTTCAACCTGAACCTCAAACTCTTTGCAACTGAGGGAAGGACAGTGGGTGTCATCTGATACTTCTTGCACTCAAACAGAAACAGAAAAGCTAAAAAATCTTCCTGCAAATCCTCGGTTTCCCATATCTCAGTAGACCAATAAAGGCAATATTTCAATAAGTAATGCTAAGAATTTTTGTGATAAAAGTCCCTAACTTGCAATATCAGCTTAGTTAAAGCCCTATCATCTCTCAGAAGGAAAAGCAACAAGAGACACGTTTGGTTTGCTTTCTAAAAGTTTCTACTGCAAATAGCACAGTACTTTAGATCCTGAACAAGTCCAACATCAAATTAAAACTTAAAATATCAGATTTTAAAACCTCACCTCATATCCCCTCTTCCTCCAAGGAAGATATTTGTTTACCTGTAACTAAAGGAGAATCTCCTTCTTCATTCTTAACATTGGGATTGCTGCCATTGAGGAGGAGGAAGCGGACATTATCTACGAGGCAATTTCTTACCGCTACCAAAAGAGGCGTTTCCCCCTTTAGAGTGGTTTGTTCCCATGTTATGGCACTGGACGCTGGAATACGGAAAAACAGAACGTATTTAAAGCTAGATTACTCATCAAATCAGACTTGTGTAAAATTTTCTGGTGGAAAAAAAAGTAGGGCTTCTTACCTCTCAAAGTTATTTCTAGGATATTCTTATTGAGCTGTGCTGCAGCTTCATGCACTGGAAGCCAGCCTTGCAGGTCTGCTTCCTCAAAGGCAGAACTGTGCTTCACCAGCTTCTTCAGGGCCTCCTCTTGGCCTGTGGTACGTAGACACACACTTATCCAATGACTCATCATAAAATTCAGAACAGCTTATATACTTTTGCCATTTATCGCATCAATATAAACAGTACAACAACTTATTTTGCCAAACCAATTTTTGAACAAAGGGTGATTTCATGAATGGAACAACCATTGATCTACACTGACTCACACAGTATTTTTAAGTACACACTGGAATAATTTGTTGATTAAAAAAATTGAGCAACAATGCTCTCAAGAGAACATTGCATGACAGTTTAGTATAGGAGGCAAACAGCTGCCCTGTTGAAATGTTAGAAGAAGAATTAGGTCGGCAAATATAAAATGATTTGAATTTAACTGAGACATGACATGCATTTCATTATCCCTCCTTTTACTAAAGCATCTTACTGGAACCTTAATCAAGACAAGTGAACGGGTCTTCAATTTTATATCTCAGAAAAGTGAGCAGCCAAGTTCTGCAAATGCTGCCTTATGTTCAACTTTTACAATTCAAGTTACAATTAGTGTACTGAGCTAGAATCTGCTTTTCCATAGTTCCTGATTTTAGCTTTGCTAAATATCTCTGTGACTGCTTATTGATGTATATAAGGACTGAACTGAAGGTTTCCCACTGCCAGACCACTGTCCCAACAACCGTCTTGTTACAATAACTAGTTATTTTAATTTCTTAGATTTTTCTGTAGCTGAACATATAAATTGATGATTACACCATAAAAAGTGGAAGCATTAAAGGAGGTCACATTAAAAGCATCCCATATAGGAGTACACTGAAGTTTGGCAGCTATGTAGCAATCCTGGAACAGTTTGCATTCTCTTTATCATTTTCCTATCTAATAAAATAGCTTTTGTGTGTCCCATTTTTACCTGCCTAACTCTCCCCAGGACTATATAGAGAAATAGGAACTTCACTCACTCAAGTGAGCAGACCTCTCAAATGCAGGCACTGCCGAGCAGTGCAATACCTAATGATTCCTAGGGAGATGAGTGCAGGCATTTGTACTTAACTGTCCGAATAGCTGCAATTATCTTAGTGCGTTCTCTGCTTGCCACAAACTTGAAGCTGCAGAAACAAAACAAAAAATAAAGTTATATAATTACCCATGTTATACTTTCTTGTGTAGGAATACAATACACAAATAGAATAGCTCATTACCTCTCATTTTCTGCTACCTCCACATTTGTTTCATTTTTATGCATATCTTGTAAGCTTTCCTGGATAGCATGCTGGGTTGGGATTTCATCACAGTCATCATCAAACATATATGTAGAGTTATACATAGTAAATCAGCACAGCTTCAATCACCTTTAGTGGGAAAATGCCTTTTTTTTTTTTTTTCAAGCAGATGTTAAATCTTCTGGTTAAATCTGGAGCAACACAAACAGTAACTGCTATTTAAGTACAAAGAAAGCACAGTTCAAATTTGTGCTAACATTACATGCTTCAGTCTTCCAACTGAAATAATGTGAAATAACACACTTGAAAAAAAGATTATATCTACCATCTTATAAACATCTTCTGTATCCATATGGAACAGATCAACTTTTAGTTGTGCATTAATCAATGTGTGCCTGTCTATATTTATCTAAAAGCTGTGTGAGATATATCGAAACTATCGGAACAATATGTATCCAAATTCACACATACACAAAACTACTTGTGTAAGCCCAACAAATGTAAAACAAAAAAATAACTGCCCAAAACCTTGAGTGGCATTAGTGAAACAAGCATTTGTCAAATTCAGAGGGTTAAATTAAATTTTTTCTTTTAATTATAATATATATTTACGCTCCAAAATTTCTATCAGAGCTATACTATTTGTTAAGTCTAAATGCTCAAGTTCAACAAGTTTTGCAAACAATTCTTAATGATCAAATCACTTTGATCATTAAAAATTGTGTGAAAAATTGTTTTACATTCATCATCTAATCACACTGTTCCATAATCTAATAACACTACTCTTCTGTATCCAGCTACATATTAATAGAGGTTAAAATCAAAGATATTGTTAGACTCAAACCACTTGTCCATTTTTACCTCATCAAAACTTCCATTTCTCTCTTTCAAGTAAGTTGGTCTGAAAACAAACAAACAGAACAAAACAACCACCAAAAGCAGGACAAAATAATATTAAATTAATTGAGGAAAAGAAAAGTTGTTTAAAGAAATAGCAAAATGAATAAGCGCAGAAAAACAAGAGAAGTTGTCACCACAACACTTAGTTGGGTAAAATTCTAGATATCTTAAAATTGAGCAGCAGTACTTCATCAAATACTTGCATCATTATTAAATGCTACCTGATCCACTTGATCTACACTACATTTGCAAGGCCTTGCTCTATAATTGGACTTGTGGTGTAAGAGAAACATATTAACAAAGTACATGAACAAAAAACTGTTAGAATTTAATTAGACCTATAGTACAGTCAGTATATAAACATTTTAAATCTGGATCTCTTTTCTAAGATTACTAATTTCCCTAAGAACTTAGAAAACGTACATATTTTTCTCACCTTCTGAAGGAGGGAAGACCTCACTTTGATGAAGTGATTATTAAGTTAAAGTGATATTTTCAGGATTGAAAGCGATCCCAGTGGAGTCTAGGTCCATTAATAGCTCACTAAAAATATCTGATCATAAGATCCCCTGGGACTTTCTCCATGTTTCTTGCATACAGGTTAGTTGTGTTTAATAATCTGGCCTGACAAATAGTGCCAGCAAAAGAAAGAATTAAAAATTCATTTTCTTGGTAAAACACTGAAGTTGAAAAATTTGGAAAGAGAATTTAAGATCTATATAACTAGTAGCAATATAGTTGTGGAAAGAAAAATCTAGTCATTTTGTAAGAGAATAAAGTAAAGAAGCCATATGTGTAGCTGTCTTAAAAAGTAAGGCTATGTATAAAGAAAACAGTAAAAATAAAGGCAAATATAGACAAGCAATCAAGAGAACAACCCTATTTAAAGGAAATATAATGACTTATTGTCTGATTGTAATTTGCATATTAACATAAAGTAAACAACAGATAAACAGAGATTTTATCCAGGGAAAAAAACAATTCAGAAAGGAGGAAAAAAAAAAACCCCACTCTTCTAGGTGTAATGCACAAGCGGCATTCAGAAATGAAGGCAAATGAAGTACATGAGGCCTAATTATACTGGCAAAGGTAAGAACTCTGTGGAGCAACTGAGAAACAGAAAACATTTTATGGTGTGTTGCCATAAGGGAAATTTTGATCATTTCTTCATGGAAACTATTTGGAAATAAAAAACAAAACACACACACACACAAAACCTCACCAAAATCTGTATAGCAAAGCAAATCTTGAAAAGATGAAAATTCTGAACAAACAATACATGTGGAAATACTTGTTCACTGTTGTTTTGACAGATTACTGGCAATATATGAAAAATCCCCAAACCTACTGCCTACCAGCTTTCCTCTCACATGATTCAGGACTCTAATTCTTCAACAACTCATTCAATGTAATGTAACACAGCGAGTACACACAATTCTCATTTTCCATTATGATATGTTTTGTGATATTCAAGTATAGAGGAAATTGACGTTTACACATTTATTAATGCCATAAAAGACTATAACCTAGTTGTATATTTCATACATTGTAAATTTCATACATTGTAAAGGTACTAATCTTGAGGAAAACAATTGGGAAAAGGTAAAATATTGTTAATCAGATTTGCATGTCTTCTTTTTATGTAAAGAACGTGCCATCCCGCCTTTTGACACCGTATGCTACCCTTCCTCTGGTAAGGAAGGAAGGGAAAAAAAAAAAAGAAAAAAAAAAAAAGACAATCTGATGAGGTTTGTATCTGAACTGTCCACAGTCAGTCATCCAGCTGGCAGAGCAGTGCAACACCTCGCTTGATCCAGTGCTGGACTGGTTTATCCGTGTTTAGAGTTAAGGCAATAACAAAATTAGTGGAATGTCCAGTAGTAGACAGAACTCCTTTACGCTCGCTTGTCTTGTAGAGAGGGCAAACATATGCATTAGATTTTTTTATGTCTGATTTTGCAGCTTTGAAAGAAAAAAAAAAAAGAATTTACTGCAGATATTTTAAATGATAGAAATCTAATCTACATACAGACACAGACATTAAATATTTACAGTAAAATTCTTAAAGCTAAACAAAAATAATTGTTTTGTGTGTAACAAATAAATCACTTTTTTAAAAACAAAAACCTACCTTTAAATAAACTAACAAACCAAGCATAATTAAACTATAATCTGTCTCCAGGATTCAATGCCAATTTGTGATTTGATCAGCCTAATAATTATACAGAAACATAATCAATTCTGAATAGCTATATAATTAAAATGTATTGCTGGGTCAGGATTCCCATGAAATGTTCAGAGAATATCTTTAAACTATAATGCTTCCATGGGAATTCTGATCGAGCACCAGAGAACTCAATTAAAACCCAAGAGAGTCAAGATGCAAGGACAAAACTGCAAAGAAAATATATATATATATATGTCTATACTGTTTGCATACAACTTGCAAAGTCTTAAATCATGCATGTATGAAAATAAATTCATCTATGATCAATAGGAGGCCCAGGCACAAAAATTGAAAGCTTTGCGGAACCACTTTTTTTAAATTTGAAAGTCAAAGTCTGATGCATGTGAATTCTGTGCACTTTTGGGTACTTTGGTGAGGGACACGAGTCTTGGTCTTCTATAAGAGTGAAATTCATAGCAGAAATTTCTTGTTGAATAGCTTATACTTTAGAGTAATTTCACTTACTTGGTTTTATCCAGACGATTGGCATCACATCAAAGAGACATTTGGGATACTGTTCAGCTAACATTCCTCTGGTGAGAGAAAGCAACAAGGCAGTTATTTTTGGGTTGGTGTTAAACTAAGCCAAGGGAGAGAAAAAAATGGAGGGCTAGGGAAGAAGGTGGGTTTAGAAGTTGACATATTTTTTTGTTTGTTTTTTCCTCATCTCCACAAAGGAAATAGTATTTCATTTGATATGAAATTACTTTCATCCAATAATATTTCATTGAGGTACTTGTAAGAAAAGCAAAGGAAAGGAGGGACTGTAGTCACCAAAGTTCTCGTCTAGAAAAACCTTTTCTCTGTCCAATAGTGGACTTGAATTTCTTGTTCCAACACCTAAGTGGTTATCTACAAGAACAGCATCATTATGAGGGGGATCTCTGCCTCCCAGCACTCACCATTCATTTTAGGATACTCATAACTTACCCATTAATCAATGTCAAATATCTCAAAAACAGAATTATAGAATAGTTGAATAAACAGCTAAAACACTATAAATCAACTCTTAACCTGGTCCTATGTGACTCAGAGATAATTTACAAGTGTTCTCCATTCAGAATAAACACTATAGAATGGCCTGGCTGGCTATCGCAAGAGGATGCCAGAGGTCCATAACTACTCAATATTTAGGACAGAGACCTGCTCACAAATCACAATCTTATCTAAATTCTATTATATGTATATTTTTAGAATTAATAAAATTTTAAATATTAGAAGATTAAAAAAAAAAAACACTGGCCTTTCAAATAAAAGTGGTTCTACAAAAAAAACTGCTCTAAAAAAATCTAATCTTTTCAAGATAACTCGGAGTAGACACCAAAAAATTCAGCATTCCATATTTATTAATTACTTTAAAACATGTTGCAGTTTCATTCTACTGCAGGTTAGCACAATCCAAAGTTTCTAGAACAGCAACACTTTAGATTCATTGCTTTGCTTTCTTACCCTTAGCCCACCAGGAAGAGGAAATCATTCAGAAGGTGTTATTGAAACAGTATGAAAGGTGAAAACATTCAAACAAATCTTGCATGAGCACTTAAGAAACCTTTCAGAACTTTAGTAAAATACATTAGTACTGACTTAGCCCTATCCCAACGAGCTCCATCTAAAAACAATCCATGGACGTAAACACCATCTTCTGGGGCAGTATCAGAGGTATCCTGAGGAATAACCTACAAGAAATAATAAGTGCTGCATATTACTAGGCTTTCTTAGCGGTTTGTTTTCTGAATTGCTTTGCCAATAGTCAATCTTTAGAAGACCATCCCAAAATGAGAATTTAGTAGTAATGATGTCTTTTCAGCACTAATTTTATACAAAACTGGGCTTTGTGGGTTTGTTGTTTACTTTATAACCTAAAATAAAGGTAACTAAACCACAACAATGCAAAACATAACAAAAAACTCCTATACAAGCTATTTTCTAAGGCCCCATGATACAAGTGTTTCAATATATATACACATTACAGGCGTT